AAACCAAATACTGAAACCTCAGAATAAAATTAAATTAATAAAGAATTATTCTGATACATCCAAATTCTCCTTTTCTAATACAACTCGGGAATTCCTCTGGTGGACCCCTAATAAAAATCATCACTGAGAAATGAATCACAGAAAAAGAATCCAATGCTAAACCATACAGGAACCGCCTACGTCGTCGGAAGAATGAGAAGTCGTCTCTGCTCAGCACGAACAAGATCTAAGACCTGCAACCGTCCGTTACCTGAAAAATAATAGTGGGTCAGGCCCACGAACAAGTTCTATCCTAACTACAATCCAAACAGAGACCCGATACGCAGATACATCCTAGATGTCTCAACCATATCTATATAGTCCGTAAATAGATATATACATAATACCACACTACAGGACTCTCACTAGACTATGCTGAGGGTCTCAACCTGAATAGAAGGCAACATGCAAAAACGCACCTGAGTGGGCATGACTACCTTAGCCTAACAGGGTATACCTCAACCAACATAGCTAGCTATGCATCCTACTGCATATACACTCCCTAACTGTCGACTATGAGACTCAAGCTCAGATCGCGGCACCATAATTATATATATAAAGTCCGATCCTATCCAACCATAAGAAATCCAGCTAGTCGTTCAGCTTGTTCAGCCGCACAGACTAACATAAATTAAGTGTATATATAACCCATCCAAATACAATGTTGAGCCGGTCAACTATTCGTCGCCAAAACACAACATATAATTAGGATTTAAATATTTTAATTAAATCCCTATCCTTCCTATTAACAGAAAATATAAACAACCATCCAATATGTCGTTCAACTATTTTAGTTGACAGGACATGAAACCATGTAGGATTTAACTATTTTAGTTAATCCATTCCGTATGTATGAATGGGTTGGAATTAGCGTTTTGATCTAATCCGTCCCTCCGTATGTTACCGTCCCATACCGGTACATACCATGCATATGATCCGTAAATGATGCATTAACTCAATCAGTACACCAAATAGAATCCACATAAATCCATGTAGCTGATAAAACAAAATTGGAACAGTTTATCAACTAAATATCCATGACAATATCCATGAAATTGACGAGACAAAACCTAATCGTTCGTCAACTTAAAATCCAAAATTCATTCATATAATTGACAGAAAATATGCAATTAATTCTTCAATTAAGTCCAGGTTAACTCCCATGTAAATTACAAAACCTATGTTTTAGTTTAGCAATTTAAGTCCAAAACCATCATCTAGTTGAAAACCATCATCCAATTAATTGCAAAATAGTGTATCTAATAATTCAACAATTTAAAGCAAACCTTTTACTCATGTAATTGCAGGAAGATTAATGTTTCAGCAATATAAAAATCCAAAGTATGCACAGGTTTAATCTGTTAACTAAAAGACTCTACTGTGCATCTAAAACAAAAATTAGAAACATGTTATAATTCATTAAATTGCCATATTAGAGCAAGCAAGTAATTTCCTATCCTTAATCTACGTAATTGCAGAACGGATTTATTAATTCAGCAATTATATTCCCGAGTGTGCACAGATCAAATTTATTAAGTAAATGACCCTAACGTGCATTTAAAACAAGATTAACATCATGTTATAATTACTTAAGTCGCCCATTTAAAAATTGAACAACTACTTCCCTTCCAACCGTTAACAGTATGTAAATTGTCTAAATTTCACACTGATCATTCCCTTCCTATAATAGGCTAACTTATGCAATTAGAGAGCTTAAGATCTCTTGAAATTACTTTTAAAATTGTTAGTTCACTCCCTAAAACAATTTAGAACTCCAAACATAGCCCAAACAGTTCCCAGACAGCTCCAGATTGCAACCAAACGTAACCTAACCAAAGAGCCTTCTCTTGAAAATCATAGAGCAGGCTCTTTACACCATGGAGCCTGCTCTATAAAAACTTAGAGCCTGCTCTAGAAACTTAGAGCCTACTCCATAAAAACTTAGAGCCTGCTCTTAAAGGCTTAGAGCCTCATCTGTCCAGTTTTGCTCCGTTTCGCCTTTCAGCTTCGTCTCCGGCTATTCCCAACCTTTGGTTCATCTTTAATACTGAGTTTAAGAATCCTATTTACACCCAAAATCATCCCCATGACTGGTTTTATAATCTGTTCAATCACTGAATTAAACTACGCAATTTAACTTTCCTCCAACCGTTAACAGTACTGAAAAGTTGTCTATTTTCCTACTGTTTAACACTTTAGCGTAAACGTATAAACTATGCAATAAGAGGTTTAAATACACTTGAATTTTAAATTAAGAACCCAAATGCCCTCACAACACAATTCGAAAGAATTAAAATCATCCAAACGGTGCCCAGAAAATCAGAAAACACTAAAATACGTCAAAATAGGAGAGAGCCTGCTCTAAAATGCAAGAGCAGGCTCTTGCAAGCATGGAGCCGGCTCTTGAATGATGGGAGCCGGCTCTTCAATCCCCAGAGCCGGCTCTTCATCCCTTTGAGCCTCTGTTCTCCTCCAGCTATGTTTTTTCGACCATCTGCTTCAGCACCGACCACTTCCACTCCCTTTGTTGGTTTTTAAAATTGTTCCTAGGAGTCCTAAGTATATCTAAAACCATCCCAAATCCTTACTTAAGTCAATTTGCATCAAATTAAAACTTAAAACTTTTATCGATCCAACATGCTTAGAAAGAGCAAGCACTGCAACCAAAACAAACTTGCGTGAACTGTAACAAAATTAATTCACGCCTAAATACAAATAATTGATAACACAAATACTAAGTATCTAAGATTCAATTTATTAGTCCATTAAAGCCCTAGAGACTATCTACAGATGCACAGAACACAGGCAACGGGAGAGAGAAAAGAAAGAACTTGCCTTTGCGGTTTTGGAATCAAAACCTTATCGCCATCTTCCTAGGTTTTTTTTCCGACGAGCATGACTGCCATCAAGCCTCCTACTGCGCAACCTTCCCTTCTCCTATGACCAATCCTTTATCCACAGTTAAAACTCTCACCAAAGATGGTCTGTTATTGTCTCACAATTTACGCTCTGTTCCTCTCTATCTCTCTGGTACGTGAAAAATGTTTACATATTTTTTTTAAAACCTTAAGTCAACATAATGATATATTTATAGGTTTAGAAAAACTAAAACCCTAATTCTAATTTTAATTCGAGAAAGAAAAACAACCATAAAAGTTATAATGTAAGTCGGCTAAAAACGTGAAAATATATGTAACCCTAAAATTATAACCTATATTAAATTAGGATTAATACCTCAAGTTTAATTATTAATAAATAACAATAATTAAAACTAGCTCTATATACATATATACCCATATATATACATGTATATACTTCCATGGGTAAAATGGTACCCATTAACACTATCCAAATAGTCCGTTAATCATATCCAAGCCCAAGTTCGATTAAATTTTTTTTAAATTTGACGTGTTGTGTTGTATCCGTGTCCATGTTACATAATATATAGTGATTCTAAAATAATAATAATAATAATTGGAATAGGATAATGTATGTTTATTTTATATATATATATAAACATCATTCATGTTCCAAAACCATTTAACCACCCCATAACCAATCTAAAGAGGGCGGGTAGTGTTTTGTCATCCCTATAATATTATATCACTTATCACCTATAAAGCACGGACACCAACACAGGACACGGGTACAATACGACATGGATACGGCGATACGGCAAATTTCAAAAAAATAGGACACAGACACGGCAATGATACAATAATAAAATAATAATATATATTTTTATTATATATAAAATTTTAATTTTTCTTAATTTTTAATTTACATTAATAGACATAATCCATTTAAATTATGTCCAATCCAAATTCTATTAAAATTCAAACAATAAATATGTAGTATATCTTTATATCCAATACTAGAATTTGTATCAATACTAGAATAGTTTTATTGTTGTAACCAAACATACTAAAAAAGGAGATAAGATTACACTAGAATAGTTTTATTGTTGTAACGAAACACAACTGGAAGAGGAGATAAGATTAATCTTATCTCCTCGGTTCCCACGTTCGACTAATATTCTCTCTCCACTAGCCAGACGCATTACTCCGTCTCTGAACTTCCATCTTCCATCTTCCTTCTCCTCTGCATATACTCTAAAAATAGACGAACAAATTTTCACTCAAACAATTAAAGAGATTTCTTCTTTCATTCTGTCTTCGATTGATCCACACCAATCAGAGTATGATCATCAGGTTCTTCATCATCTCTTTGTTGATTTCCCCTCTATTCTAGTTTCTCTCTCATCCACTCCATTTTTTTATAGCTTTTGGTTTGTTGTCTTCGATTAGTCTACACAAAAAACACACACAATCTCTTCATCCTCTCTTTCTTTCAAACAACAATTGAACTACGGTGTCCTCCGATATATCAGCCGTGTCCTGGTTGTATCTTATGGCGTGTCCGACTTGAAAAAATGAATAAAAAAATAGGACACCAGTAGAAGGGTGTCGGACACGTGTCCAAGGCTGAGATACGCATGTCCGACACTGGTACGTCACCCTTACCACGCGTATCTGTGCTTCAAAGCTTATCACATGCAATTAATTGAATAACTACTTAAATTGTTCAAAATTAAGTGACACATATTTTATAAAAAATATTCAAATTGAATTATCAAGAATAATTAATTAAATAATTACTTAAATTGTAAGATAGAGTTCATAGAGTTCATAACTAATTGCAGCAAATGCTCATATTTCTTTACAACCTCACTTAAGTGAGAGGGTATAGATTTACTTTTAGAAAAAGGTGTAAAGAAATAATTTTTAACATTAATTATTTTTATAAAGTGAACATTATTAAATTTAAACATGTTTTTGGGTTGTCTTTGTGCACCACTTCAACGTCCCATCACAACCTTATTTAAACTGAATCATGCATTGGCATTTCATCAACACATTAGAGTAAAAAAATTTCTCAGTATATAAAATGGTTCTGAAGTGTTAAAACAAGGAAAAGTGATTATTTGGTCAAATATTCATTCCTATAATTCCATCCAAGCAGCAAAGATCAAATTACATTCGGTTCCCCAAAAAGGATGAAAATTAATGAGATCCATAAATCAAAATCAAATCCATCAAACAAGGAAGCAGTGTTTTCAACTTGCCACAGCTTTCTTCTAAAAAAAAAATATAAACCAAAACTAAAATGACTGCAGAACAGAAAACCTAAGCACCTATTAAAGAGCTGTTAATTGAAAAGAAAAGGTCACGTCTGACGATAAGGTGCTCAAATCCTTTAGTCGAAAAGACTGAAGCCCATATCCTGCCGAAGTTGGAAGAAAGAAAAAATCAATTACACAAATTGAAAGTTTAAACGTTCTGTAAATGGTGCACGTGTATGAAAGTTATGGCACTGTTAACATGAAAATGCAACATAGCAATGCAAGTATGCGCCTATCCTCTGATGTCCATTAGGCAGTTGAATAAAATGTAAACTATGTCCTTTTAAGCTTCAGGGCAAAATAGAGGGGTTATATAATTTGCCACACACAATATAGTGGTATGGATGTACACATATATTATACTATTTCTGGGGTAGGGGTAGGGGGAACTTCAGGCAACTATATCCATCCAGGATGAATGGAGATGAAGTCTCACTGGACATAAATGTTGCAATAGAATAGCAGTACGAATGTGTTATAATTGAAATAAGGCTTACATCATCTGACTCCTCTTTCTCTTCCACCTTTTCCTCTTTCTTGGATTCAGCAGCAGCTGGAGCAGCAGCAGCACCGCCACCTCCAGCACCTGCAGCAACTGCAACAGCACCGCCACCAGATGGAACTGATGCCAACTTCTCACGCCCAGCCGCAATAAGCTCTGTTATGTCCTTTCCATTAACTTCTGATAAAAGCAGCTCAATCCTATCATCATCAGCTTCAGCGCCAACTGTATGAAAGATACACATTTCATCATATTAAAAATCCTCCCCAACACACGGTACACACCTTGTATAGGATACAACCGAAGATACAATAATACATCTCATAAAAGCCTATTTAAAGGATATCCATCTCCTGGTTATTCTTGAACATACAAAAGCGAACTTTTCCAATTAACAAAAGAAATTAGAATCAAATTATGAATCAGTTTCTAAAAGAATACTGGTGAACTGAATTTTGTGAATGCAGTGCACGACACATACCGATTACAGAACTTTCATATTAGTGTTACACAAGTGAAGCTTAGGCAACAAAAAATAATAACACGAAACCAGTCAATCTCTGCCTTGATGGCTTTGGGTATTAACTCCCAAGCCCCAGGTCGTGGTTTCAAGAATGGTCAAGAGGAAAATAATAATAATAACATGAATGCTAATAAACAATACGGGACCATGTACAAACCCCCATTCAAACCATTTAAACCCTCAATGAGATCGATACAAAACAATTTCACCATTTTCACAGCTTCTCAAACACGAGTCGTGGGCATTACAAACCATAACTTACACACAAGTTGTGGGCATTACAAACCATAACTTTTTCCAAAATAATCCAAATTTTGATTATAATTAAGAACTGCCACAAGTTCAATGGGTATCTCTTATGACTCTTGACATTTTTTGTTGTCAGGAACGAAATATTTCCTAAACCGATTAATCTCTGAATTCTTACACGGCTTCAACCGGCCCCTCACAACAATATATCTTTCTTTTCAAAAAATTCTGTATTCTTTCAACAACTCTTGATATAGTGCTTTCTTAGAAAGCAAATCCTATAATTTCTATTAACCTTTCCAAAACTTTTTTCCCTTGCTCTTTTCATGTCTGGAATCCATTTCCCATGGCTTGATTCCATCTCTTTATCTTTCCTGTTTTTTTCCCTTTTCCTGTTTTATTTCTTTTTCAAGTATCTCTCTATCTTTGACGAGAAAGAACTGTGAGGTGTTAATTATATAGGCATAAGGAGTAAATAACTTAAGCACGTATCTCTCAAGCCACAGTTGGAGTTTTTCGTTCAATTCATCTTTTTCCAAGTTGAGCTATTTTTATCAATTCATCTTTTTTAAATACGTCTAGGGTCCAACACAATGTTCTTCATTATTTGGTTCGTAGTATTTATTTTTATAGTAGATATATATGGTACTTTTTTCTTTGTTCCAAATCTTAAGTTCTTTTTTTTTTCAAACATTTCACTTATAACCAAGCAATTTGAGAACCCATAACATTTATCAGGAGAGCTTACTTCTAGGAACATTGCAACACTGAATGCAAATAGAATAATCCTCCCCTTATACTTCAGAGTAGAATGGGATAAATGAGAACAGTCATCACCATATCACTGAGATGGGCATTACTCGTAAAGAGTTGAGCAAGGGATAGGCCAAAAGAAGTTTGATGCCAAATTCTTAGACTGCTTCAACCAGCTCTGCACCCGCAACAATATATCTTTGTTTTCAAAACATTCTCAACAACTTAGAGTGTTTTCTTATAAAGAAATTACTGTAATTTCCATTAACCTTCTCCAAAACAATTTTCTCTTCTAAAGGTACTCTTGTATTGTCCGGAACCTATCTCTTCTAGAGGTGTCTCTTTCTCTTTGATGAGAAAGAAGTGTCAGGTGTTAATTATGGTGTTAATTATGGAGACATAAAGAGTAAATAACCTAAACACAAATATCTCTCAAAAACATACACATATCTCAAGCCATAGTTGGAGGAAGAACAGCTTCCAGCCCAGCTTTTTCATACATATACTTGGTAGGGCATAAGGGTTGTTCAGCCTTTGACGCACCAAAATAAAATGGACAATTTATCTTAAGGAGGATAAATAAAATAAAATAAAATAAAATAAAAATTTGAAAATATGTTTTTAAAAAAAGAACAAGAAAATAGAAGAAAACCCTATCGGGCCATACTACACAATAAAGAAAACCAAACAGCCCTAAAAACATAAAACATAAAACATAAATGACTGAATCTTTTATACATATATCAAAGAAGTGAGAGAGAGATAAAAAAGAGAGTACCAGAGCCAAGGATGTTCTTCAGATCCTTGGCGGAAGGACTGGTGTTGCCTCCCAACACAGCGAGTAAATAGGCGGCGATAACCTTCATCTCTGCTCAAATAACTTTACCTATACAATATTAGTCTCAATAAATCAGTAAAATACATGTATTACTTACATATAATTTTTATGTGTGTAGAGAGAGAGACGGTGGGGTACCCGAGAAGCTTTGGATCTGCAGAGGATGAATACGAACGGGAAATGGAGAGGAAGTGGGATCTGCAGAGGATGAATACGAACGGGAAATGGAGAGGAAGTGGGAGTGTGTATATCCTTTATATATACCTAGGGTTTTTTTTAGATTGGGTTGCCTTTCCTCCGAATGCGGTTTAATTTGGAAGGCTAATCCAACGCATGTAAGGACTATTAAATAATATTTGTCGCCTTAAAATTGACAAGTTATGGAGAAATGCTAAAAGACCCGACTACTGTTCACCGACATTAGCCGACACACACTTGTCAAATGCAGATTGGTACAACTGGGCAGACGATTTTTCCGACGCAACTTTACTTTCTCTCATCTCTCTTTCGATCCTCTTTCTCCGTTCTCTCTCCGGTGGAGAATCCTTCATCTCTCTCGGACGTTCCCTTCTCCCTCCCTTCTCTCTCGGTTAATCACAAGTTTTTTTTTGCTTTCTTGTGAAGACTCATTTCTTCCAAGTTCATCATCGCCGGGATTTCACTGTCGGCAACCATAAGCCTCCGGCCGGTGCTTGTCTTCTCCATCGTCGGCGTCTCCGTCGCTGATCTGCTTTCTTCTCCATACTTAGACTCGCCAACCTTGATTGTATCGAAACCATCAAACCGTCATGGCCGAGGACCAAACTCACCTCCACCACGGTAGACCCAGTTCCGCCTTTGCTACCCAAACCAGAGGAGACCGACACAATTCCGGCGACGAAGTGAGATGATGGCGATGCCGCGATGAAGTGAGATTATCCCGTCGGCGATGAAGTGAGATGATCCCTCTGGTTTCACAGAATAGTTGGGTCGGCGATGAAGATCCGGAGATGCCGATCTTGTCGTGATGGAGGCGGCGGCGGCGAGCAAGAGATGGGCTGTGGTGCTGCACCGATTGCGACTCGCGGCGGCGTGATGGCAGTGAGTGTGGGCTTTGGACAACGGTAGAAGCTTACTGTGAGGATGTTGATGGCGGCGCCGGCGAAGAGGGAGATGGCTGGGTCCGATCCGGTCATGGAGAGCCGGCGAAACAGATCCGGGGCTTGGACTTGCAGCGCGGTATGCTTGCGGCGACGGTGCCCAGCTGGATGGTTCGGACGGTTCGCTGCACCGGCGAGGAGCAGCTGGAGATGGGCAAGCTTAATCGGCTGTGGATGGCGGCTGGAGCTAGTAAACAACAGACGAGGGAGAATGAAAGATGTGAGTTTGATTCTTACAGATTTTGTAGTTTGCAGAGAGAGAGGATGGGTTTACCGATGGTCGCGGAATTTTAGCCGGAAAGATGGGTTCGTCGCCGATTGTTAGAGAGAGAGAGAGGAGGGAAAATTGCCACGTTGGACAGCCACCTATGCAGTCGGTTTTTTTCGGGTAAACAGTGGTCGGGTCGTGTAGCACCGCTCCAAGTTATGTCATTATATTAATATAACTTGTATTTTTATAATATTTAAAATTAAATTATAAAATGACACACTTCATTTTTATATATTTGTGCTCCATTATTTTATTTCTTTCAGAGATAATTAAATGGCACAAATGTATTTTTTAAATATTCTCACACTCCTACAAATATTGTTAGACTTCATATCCCTTTAGAATAATATTTAAATCCATTATTTTCTTTTTCTTTTTTCTAATTTTATTAAAGATTAGTAGAAACAGATATTTGTCCAGAAAAGCTTAAAATCTCAAGCTTTCTATTTAGAATAAGAAGATACTATTTTGAGCTAAACCCATTATTTCAATCAAAGAGTCACATCATTAAAAAAATCCAATAAACCCTTGCCGGAGGATTGATACATTTACTGAAGTTGATAAACCAAATTTGTTCAAATGAAATACTTTGATAGGACTAAATGAAAATATCAAACACCTTCAGCAATATATATATATATCATAATATAATTTGATCATAAGTTTAACTAAAATTATAATCCGTTTAAAACTCTAACTAAAATACGCAGATTCATATCTAGTAAATCCTTAAATAATTCCAACTTCGTATTTCTTCACTAAATGTGCCATTTGATAGTTTAAATAACGTTATCCTTAAGATAGTGGATAATAAATCACCAAGCTTTTAATCAAGACATTAGATTTTAGACTAAACTTGATCAACATTTTTGAATCCCCTTGATAATGGCATCACTATTTTTCTTTTTTTATACCCCTCTTGTTTTATGTGGATGCCCTCGATATTCTCTTTAATTTTTCCTTTCACACATTGCTTGACCTCTCTCTCTCTCTCTCTCTGTTGTTATAAATTGTGGAAGCCCAATTGAAATTGCTTAGCACAGCAAATAGTGCTTCAAAGAATTTAAATTATTCAGAAAATCTCCATGAAATTCAAATATTGATCATGTCAAGGAACACGGAACTGGAACTTGACAGAACGCAAGGTTGAAAATTAACTGAAATGGATCAAGGGACGCCAGGTCTCGTATCCTTAAGTTGAGTTAGCATTTAAATGGATAATGCTCCACTCAAAGGAACAATATTAGTAAATACCATAACAATATAAAGTGTTCATTAATAATTGATTTAACAGTATTGTTGTATTCTCGATGTATAAGTATGTTACATCAACGAGCTAGAAAAATTCTCCTAATGACATCCAATAGTAATAATTTTCACCAACACACATTTCTGCTCTACGGGGAAGAATTAGAACTACCATATTTCACAAGATTCGTCTGCATTTCTTAAACAACTACCAGACACAATACAGAGAAACAACAAAGAATTGCAGGTTCCGCGAGACCAAAGAGGTAAAAAAATTATATAGAAAGTACAGAAAATAAAATTAATGAGTAGCGGAAAAGGATTTAAAACACTTGTTTACATGTTTCCATTATTGCTTATATATTAATTTGAAGCTGTTGCTAATATGTATTTTTATTAAACCAACATTTCCTGGAGAAAAAGCAGACCATTGAAACACTTCAAAAGAAAAGATAACACCATCTATGTAAACAAGCAAATAAACAAACCATCAGTTTTCCGTAATGTACCAGACGATCAGGTTAAAGTAAATAACGAAAACCAAGTACAGATGGTAGAAATTTCAGTCTCTTCCTCCATCCCCACACCCCAACATTCGCAATCTTCAAATCTTACAAGCAAAACCGAGACCCTCCTTCGCCAGTTGGTCTAAACTCCCAGCGGGGGGTTGGTCCCTTGCAACTTTAGCAATGGCCTTATTTTCTTCCGGAGTCCCATTCTCCAGAAACACACCCACAACCTTGCCATCTTTGATCCAGTATGATCCAAATTTGGGCTTCGGTGATGTTGGACTGTTGTCTCCAAAAATCACTGTATCACCCACATTGTCGCCATAGAACTGCCACGACAGATCGAAGGAACGGGAATAGAAGAACGGAAGGTAATCATACTCGTCAATAGACTTCCCTTGCGCACTTGCGAATATAGCCTGCACCAAGTCATTCCCAACAACACATAACAAAGTGAGATTACTAAAATCGTCAACTGGAAAATTCCCTGAAAAATGGATGGTTACCACAAGAGAGCATATGGCACATGAAAATTCTTCTTGCAAACACAAGTACTTTTAAAACCCAACTACCTATCTAATGAATTGGGTCATGCTTTAAACTTGACCCCTCTCTTTGTAGAATTTAAGTAACAATTATTTTGCAATTAAATGAAATATACTATCTTGAACCCTTCCTATTAGACATTTACTGAATATATTGCAACCAGTATTTTCAAAAGTTAGGAAAATACTATCTTTTTTTTTTTTTGAAGTGAAATAGTAGCCAAATTTCAACCCCTTAATTTTTTACAATTACAGGGCAAAAGATATGGATCCAGATCATATATAGAACTAAACATTAAGAACAACTCCATACCTTCACAGCCTGCTCAGCTGATTTACGAGCATGGTCAACATGTTCAACTCTTCTAATCTCATTATACAATTTCATCGGGAAAGTAGCCACATCACCCACAGCATATACATCAGGAACACTTGTTTTGAAGCACCCATCGGTCTGTAAGGAAGTAAAATAAAAATAAGCAATGAAATAAACTAAATATTTATATGCACCACTTCGACGGATATATTAAAATTACAACTAGATCAACTATGAGTTCAAAAGTAAGCATCGCGTTTATCCCACTTTATTTTAAAAATAGTTGTTCACTTTAAATATGAGAGGAAAAAGAAAAGGAGAACACAATTATATTCTCGCATTCTCTTCCACCTGTCCAGCATAACAAAACAGTACGGTAAGATGCTAATGCTTTATTGCATGCATTGTATATATAATCATATGGCTGTATCCGCTGTATCCACAATTTAAATAGCATCTTAATAAGTCATTGTCGTGAATGGAGCCATTTATTACCAAAAAAAAAAAAAAACCAATTTCATCATAGATTTTTTATGATCAATTTTAGGTGTCCTTGAAATCATGAAATTAGATGTGAATTGTCGTGTTTGAGATGGCTACCATTTACCCAAATGATTCCTTTCAAGATGATATATTTTTTTTTATTGAAATTCTGTGTAAAAACTGAATGTGGGTCATACATGTGGTGGTGGGAAGAAAAAAGAGAAGCCCCTTTAGAAATCACGATCACAATACAACAAATGCGGCACTTATTTTACGTACTTCTGCTAAAATATTACAAGAAACTGAGCAACAAATTGGAAGGAAAACTAGTTGGAGAATTAGAATCCAACAAATATAGTATTTTTGGATGCGGCGTTCAATTATACAATAAGTGCACCATCCATTTGACAAACTACTGATGAAAGTCTTGCAAGAAACTGGGCAAAAATATATTAAAAAAACACCAGTTGGAGAATCAACAACCAGCAAGTATAATTTTATAATTTTGGTAGCACTAGAAAAAAATCCTTTTCGTTTTCTTAGGGCCCGTTTACTAACGCTTTCACTTTCTTACTTTTACTTTCTGTAAAAGTAAAATCATGCTTTTGATTTCTTGAACTAAAATAGAAAGTAAAATATTGTCCAATAATTTCTTTTACTTTCAATATTTTGAAAGCAAAAAATAGAAAGTAAGTTTAATAACTTTAATTTTAATTTTAATTTTAATTTATTTATTTTTTTATTATTATTTTTTTTTTCAGAAAGAGATTTGGGTTTGCGCTTGTTGACAAGAGGCTTCTTGACAGCGTCGGCGGGGTAGAACTTCGGCGGGCTTAGCCTCAACGGGCTTCTTGTCGTGGCGAGGGAAAGTGCCACCGTTTTTGGCCTTGATGGCCCAGAGACCTCTCTTGTGGGACATCTGGGAGCGAGAGTATTTGCCGATGCCCCGAATCAGATCTGGGTTTCGGCTCACCTTAGGAGTCTTCTGCTTCATCGGCGCCATTGATGCTCTCACCCCTTTCTCTCTCTAGACATGGTAGTAGTATCGAAATTATTTTAATTTTAATTTTGTTTTCCTAATCTTGTGTGTAAGAGATGGGTCACAAATGATTACAAACATATATATATATATATATATATATATATATATATATATATATATATATGTATACAACCTCTGTATATAGGTGTGATTCTAGTTGAATTCACATCTGTATCTCTCTCTTCCGATGCCGGAATCGTGGACCTCAGCCTCGTCAAAGAAATTGAAGATTCCACTGTGGGTGTTACAGAAGTGGCTTGCATTGATCTGGGTTCGATTATGGTGATTAGTAATAAAGACGCAAAGGCTTAAATTTGATGGGTAGAAGAGTTTGGGCAGATGGAGTTATGGTGGATTCAAGGATGATATATGGTTGGAAGAGAGTGTAGTGAAGATAAGAGTGGCGAGCATAGAGAGAAGAGAGAAGATGTTATAAACGAGACGGCAAATCACGCACAACTTATTTGGGATGAACAGTGGCCCGTGTGGTAACAGTGCAGGAATCAATTTCCCGCTACAGTGCAAAAAGTATAGAAAGCATCAAAAAGTCACTTTTCACTTTCTTCATTAAAATTGATTTCACTTTCTCTTTTTAGAAATCAGAATTAATTTTATTAAACATAATTTTACTTTTATTTCTGCTTTTTCAGAATTGACAGTAGAAAACAGAGATTACTTCCTGTTAGTAAACAGGCCCTTAGTACTTCATATATGAGGGCCCACAAAACCGATCAATACGTCAAGAATAAGATTCTATTGCTCACAAGAGCAGAAACATAAAACACAATTAATGCTTTTAGAGGATTGAGTCAGACAAACCTTAATTCCGCCTTTCTCCTCTTCAACCTGTCCTTTGAAAAGCACTGTAAGAGGTCTTCCACCAACGCCAACAACGACAATGTCAGCTTCCATCACCCTACCATCCTTGAGTTTAACTTGTTTAACCTAAATAATTTTAAATGATACTGAGATAAAGGATGCTTTCAAGTCCATAAGATATTATCAAGGAAACCTGGATGTCTCAAATACGCTTTAGAATATACCTCTCCCTTTGCATCTGCGTCGAACCCAACAGCTACTGTTCCCTTGATGATTTTGACTCCCTTATTTTCATAGTAACCCTCATAGAAAGCAGCTATTTCAGAAGTAAAAAGCCTAGGCACTGAAAGAACACAGGATATGTCAAGAAAACCAAACGATGTAAGGGAAAAATCCAACTAAGATCCCTGTAAGATGAAATTTTCATGCGTAGCCCTAAGTGCCACAATTTGGATGCCTTAAAATTAACCACATAGCAAAATGTTAAATTTCAACTCCAGATAATAGACTTGGTAAATCTTCACTTACTGCACCATGGTTCTGGGTAAACCATGTTGACATCAAAATTGTTGATTTTCATCACTGCACCAAGCTCGAGACCAATGTATCCTCCTCCAACAATTACAGCCTTCCCGTTTTTCTTTCCTTTAATTGCTTCCACAAGCTTATCAGCATCATCAATTTCTCTCAAGTAAAAGATGTTTTTAGAATCAGCCCCTTGTACACCAAAGTCGGTCAACCTTAAAACCTGCAAAAAATAAGGGGGAAAAGAAAGTGATGTGGGACTAAAAATGAAAGGCAACTTCAAGTTGAATGAAAATCCTCAGAGATGATATATATATATATATATATATATATATATAAGTATAGATGATGATATTTACCGTAGAACCAGTTGCAATAACCAAAATGTGATATTTGAAGGTATCACCAGCTGCACTAACAAGGGTCTTTGTTGCAAGGTCGGCCTTCACTATTTCTGTGCTAAGAATCAGTGCTATCCCTGCAACCACCAAGTTGGGTTTACAATAGATACAATAGATTTTTGTCAGGCAATTTCTAAAATGATCACCAAAATAATTTGAAAAAATGTAAAGAAGTCTGACATTGTATTTGTAATCACTTGTGCATTTATTAATTACAAAATTTTAAGACGTATATTAAATCAAGCATCACCTTTCTCTGAGTACCAATCAGGAAGTAGTCTTTCTCCTCCACTTCCAACGCAGACATGAAACCCTGGAAGTCTAGCAGCTCCTGAGAAAACAAATCTCAACATAAAATTTTCTAGATTGGAGAAACTTGCGAAAAAAACTATGTGATAGATAAAGAATTGATAAACATTGACAGGCCTTTACAAACATATTGAAGTAAGAATCTCAAATAAATCTGAGGTACAGAGTCCAAATGATTTCATATAATCATATTTTAGTATAACAATAGTAGGATCCACTAAAAGGTCTCTTAAATTAGCCACCTTTGGTAACACCAAAAATGTCTAGCGTAGAGTTGGTTCCACCAGTGCTATTGTCTACCAAATTAATATATTAATTGGAAAATAACTACATTAATTGTGGCTTACATTGCACTTTAGCTTTATTTTACGTAGAAATTTACATTACTTACCTTCAGGAAACAGATATGCCTTGCTCAGTGCAGGACGTTCATAAGGCGCCACCTGGAAGGGAAAGAATGCAATGATCAAAATTGGTGCATTAGAAGTTCATCAAATGAAGTAAATAATTTGAATTCCAGTAATTGCAACATGGGGAAAATAAGCAGCAAACCTGAAGCAAGTGGGTGTAGCAAACCGTGCGGAAAATGGACTTAACATTTCTAAGGGAGCAGTTACTCTCCCAATTAATGAACATTTAATACATAAATGATTTGCCTAATTTTAGAAATCCGAACTACAGTCGCGCCATGAATACAAGTAGCAGTCCTAAACACAAGGCAATAACTAAAGTTTATGGAACTATTTATATCTTTGAGGAAGTACCAACTAAAATTCACATTTTCACACTATGAATTATATGTATATTAATATTGACCAAATTTAATTTACCAGAAAAAAATATACATTAATATCTAGAATTTATGATATCAATATAGCACATGATAAAGAGTTGTTTGAAGAGAGAAATGACCCCTTCGGACACTGGTAGCTTAATTTTTATTTTTATTATCATATACAATAATGAATCCACTAGCCTTTGGCATTCATGTTTAGTTGAGAAACATAGTTGGCGCCAATTGGTGCCTTAGGGGCTATCAATTCGAGATTTCAACACAACCAGAAGGTAAATAAGATGTTTCATGAAATTTAACTACCCCAAAACCTAATATCTTTCCTCTTCTAATCAGACAGATAAGATGCTAGATTCTAGAAAAAAATCAATTCTATTTAACTCCTCATAACAATTTTTTACTAACTATTTTAGTCAAGTCCATAAAAAGAATTATCCCACTGTTACTTAAATTTCTGAGAAATAAACCATAAGAAAGCATACCGCCTCCTTGGAAATGATTGCCAGCTCACCCGGCTTAACTCCCTGTTTGGCAAATTCCCTAGCTGCATATCCCTGCAGAAACAACCAGATGGTTGATTAACACCTAACGTCAAACATTACCAAACCATAGAAAGGAGTAACAAAATTGCTCAATTTCATGACACCATAAATACAGATACAAGCAACTGATTTCCGCTTTAGACCATCTTTGATGCATCTATCTGGTTTAGCCATTTTGGTTTAATATAAAAGTTACTCTAACCAAACGTAATCACAGTTCACAATAATGTTTGGCTGAAAGACCCTTATCACAAAGCAACTTCAAATAGTCTACAATACCAGATTTGGGACTCAAAAACTAATTTAAACATCATTATAAACATAAAATAAAATAAAAGAAAAAAGAGTGTTATATCTCCCGAAAACAACCACTGATGAGTAAATAGGTATTCATTTCCTCAAAAGGATAAGTACTGCTACTTGCCTGAGGATGAAATGAAGGAGCAGCCAAAAAATTAACTAATGGAAAAATTCAAAAGTTGCTTTAGACTCGGTTAGTGATTATTATTATTTTTCCGAGAAAAATCAATTCATTATTGTGAATTCTAGCCTCTCCATTGAATCTTTGCAAACAACCAAATGGACACAAACAAAATTACAAGCACAGTTTTCAAAATCAATTAAATTAAAAGAAAACAGTTAATGAAAATTATAATTACATAGATCTTAATCTTTTGTAGACAACAAAAATGGATTAGAAACACATTAATTATTCCTCTTGGAACTCGAATCTGAAACTAACCTGAACAGACCATACAAAATTAAAAATAATACTATCAAAATTGTGAATCAAAAAATGAACAATCAAAGATCAGAGATCGATACTCACAGCTGCGACGCCACCACCGAGGATTACGTACTTAAAGTTCTTTTCCGCCATTGATTGATCGATTAATCAGCTTATCGGTTGAGAAAAACCAGAGAGAAGATCAGTGAGAGAAGCTCAGAGAGAGAGAGAGAGAGAGAGAGATATATATAGGGCAACGACAATGCTCATTGTCTGACCGTTGATTTAATGGAAAAGTTCGGAAGTGAATGAGAGTCGTCCACGTGGTTGATTGCTAACCGTCTATCTTGCTGACTGTGCTATCGCCACGACAGCTGACCCCTGAGGGCCATAACCGATGATTTTTTGGTAATATTTAATTATATTTAAAAGATAATAAACTGATGGATCATTTTGTGATAGACCATCCAACGGTGATAATACTGGGTTTAGGTGCCATTGGTTGCAGCGAATACTGGGTCGTTAGTACTCAGGTGTGAAAGGAATCATAATTCCATTTCCTATTCAATTGTAGGCCCAAAATGTAAGCACAATCCGAAGAAGTTTAGTCCGCAAATCGATCGTTGATTTCTTCTATGCCAAGTTTCAGCCCATTCAGGCGCCCTTCACACTGCAGAAAGGACTACGTACACCGTAGTAATTTTAATTCAAACATTCATCCCAGACCTGTTCATCGATTCAATTTTGATTTGAATTTAAGTCTGAATTCGGTCTGATAATTAGAATATAAATTATATACTTAATTAATAAATTTTGAGAATTGATATTGACGCTTCATGAAATTACAAATGAGCCCATAAGTTAAATATACAATTTTTTTTTTTCTCTCTAAAATGAAATTACAAATGAGCCCATAAGCTATATACAATTTTTAATACCATATTTGCCCTTCTCTCTTGGGTTAAAAATTCTTACCTAAATTCCTTCAAATTCTCATTCACTTTACCTTTCTTTATCTCTTCAAACACAAAAATGAAAGATTTCCCTAATTAAGACAAGGAAATCTCATTATAATATTTATTATTTATTATTTATTTTGTTCTACTTCCTTCTTTAGAACATATATTTTGAGTTGATTTTGAAAATATTATTTATTCTTGTTAAATTAGATCAATTTAAAGCATCCTTGCAATTACTGTATCATTCTATCATATTTACTTTAAAACTAAATTTTATCCTTGGATTATATGGGAAGAATAATAGATAAAATCCCTGATGAGACTAGAATAATTCTTCTGTACTTCCTTGAAAAAGGTGTTCAACCAATAGTTCTGTTTTTACTGGTCCTTTTTTTCTTTGCTGGCCCTTTTTCAAGAGTTTCCAATCTTTGAAGAACTTCCCTTACAAGGAAGTTGAAAATCAAAGATCGGGGAAGAAATTATTGTTAAATAGAAGTGAAAAAATTTAAGATTCAATATAAAAGGTATCGATCTTATTAGAATAAGAAGTATTCGAGTTTGAAACAAAACTTTATTTAAATGAAAAAAAAAAAACATTTAATTGAATTGAAAATCAAAATATATGTTAAAACATCAAAATAAATATCTAAAGTTTAGAAAAAACTATGCATCTTAACTTGAGATAAGACACAAGTGAATTAAATTGAAGAGTTTTCACTTTATATAAAGGGGAACTATGGCATTAAAAATATAAGAATTAAACATTGAATAATGGACTATTTTGTAATTTTATTTTAAGAAAAAAGAGAGGATGAAGCGCTTTAGAATAATAGTGGAGCGCCAATATCAACTCTCTAAATTTTATATGGATTATAATCAATCCGTTTTGATAATAATTTGATTCAACTATATATATATATATATAGTATATAAATGCTATAGTATATGATTTATCATTCCATTGATGTGCATTTTATAAAAATAAAAATATATATTGTTTACATAGTGTTTATCATGTGTGTGTATATATATATATATATAAATGCTATAGTATATGATTTATCATTGCATTGATGTGCATTTTATAAAAATAAAAATAAAAACACATATTGTTTACATAGTATTTATCATGCATGTTTTTTTAAAAACACACACACACATATATATATATATATTTATTTATTTATTTTTATATCAAATAAATTACTATTTCATTTTTTCTTAATATATATTTTTTTAAATATCACTCATTGAGGAGAAGACTGCAAACTAGTGATTGCAATATGGCAGTCACATCAAGTTTCCAACTCGGGGAGAATAGTAAAAACTTGTACAGGAATAGTAATAGTCTAACAGGTTCCGCTTTAACGTGTTTATATTGTGAAATTATCATAATACCTCCATTTTTTATTAAATATAATATAATAACTAATTGAGCTTCTTATCGAATATATTAATTAAGTTTCTTGATTTTCTCATGTTAAATTTCCTGTTATTAATAATTTAAGAGAAGTTAAAACACTCAAATATTTTTTAAAGAAAAAATTAATTGAAGAGATGAGAATTCAAATAGAAGATGGGCTACGGCCCACACCCCCATACTTGTCCGTTGCCATTCCTACTGCAATATGGGCTTTCAAATGACCCAATTCACTGAATTCCTGACCTACTCTCTTCTTCTATAGCTTCTGGCACATATCAGGTGGTCCATGTGACCTAACCTGCCTAAAACGCAGCTGCTGCTTAATGTGATTATGGGCCAGCCCTTTGCAGTCCTATTTCATATCTTTAGCCCATACGACTTGCTACACAAATTGGCACAAGATGTTGAAAGTCTGTTAAAAGTTAGGTGGACTACATATATAATGAATACTCATTATACTTTATAAAAAAATGTATGAATTACCGTAATTGATTAAAGCATCCACTCATATAATTGTTCTATAACTACAATAATTAACTTGGCATTAAAGACAATCCATATTGTCTAGTCGATCTGTCGAATGAAAATGTCACATATATGTTGTTGTATGGGGATCTCATTGCATGATTCACCTCATCTATTGGATGAGTTTTAGTCATCAAGCATTCATGTGCATTTGTTATTCACCTCGTACCCCTATTCATTAGAATTGAGGAGATGACTTGAAAAGAGAGAGAAATAAGAAGATTTGGAAGTAACAATTCATGACATGCACTTTTTTTTTTTCCTACAAAAACTACTCTCATACATTTACTTTTGCTCATATGAGGACTTGAGTTATTGATCTTCAATTTTGAAGGTGAGGAAATACCCGTTAGATTTTAAAGCCCTTACGCGTGTATGAACATGATAGTTTCAACTGTATAAGTTTAAAATCGCTTACCGAGCCACGACCAGCCAGTTTGTAGGTTTTAAAATCATTTTTGTTAGTTTTAGTGTGTATGCAAGCATACGGAATGTCTTTTTGCTATGAGTAAAGTTAGTTAGGCTGATTTGTTAAAAAAAAAATATTTGACCAAATATTTGATGATAGATAATAAATAATCAATCAAAATCTCAAATAAAATTCACTTTTAAGTCGTGACCTTAAAAGCATTTCCCTTTTGCCATATATGGTGTGAATAAATACCGATCAATGCTTTAACTCAAGTGAAGGTTGAACTTCACATTAAAACAAAAAAAGCACTTCTTACTCTAATTTGGCCTCAGCCAAAAAGAATCAAACCTCGCGTGAGGCCAGCCAAAATTGACCAGAAAAGCATGGTTCTTAAAATATCTGTACTAGCATTGTACAGTTGCTACGAAGATCGTTGTAACGGAATGGTGTTTTATGATTTGATTTAAAAATTTAAATTATTTGATAGTATTACATACTTATTAATTTATACTTATTTCATTTTTTATTTGATGTGGAATATCTTTAACATTCTTTTTTATTCAAACTTACAACGCCTTTATTGCGATCAAATCACCTGTCTATTCAGAGTGAAAATCCAAACTTTGTACCGGACACTTCGCGTGATGCCGAATCAAAAATTAAATTTGATCCATTAGAATAGTCCACTAATTATAAAAAAATTACAGTCAATTAAAATGTCTTAAAATAATGTTACACGATGCTCAAAAAAATTGGTCGTAGCATTAGAGGTCAATGGTCGTTGTAACAACTCTCTAACGGATGATTTAGAAGAGTCGCGTCAATCATACATGATTCAAGCCTACATTGTCAAAACATAGAATACAACCATCCACTGTAACATGAATGTCCCGAAAAAAAGAAAGGTTCCACTGTTCCAATAATATTACGTATAATATACATATATATATATATAATATAGTATATCTATTATATGCATTTACGTCTAGAGACAACCCGATAAAAGTTATCTGATAGGCCATATTTTTACTACTGAAATATCTTGATAAAAACATCCACATGCTAGCTAGGCTTATTAACTTCTTTTTTTTTTTTTCTCCCGACCGACTTACGGGGCAGGTTTTCATCTTGTAGCCTTGCCTTTTCCTTTTGCTTTTTGATTTTGATTTTGATTTTGATTTTTGATGTTTTTAACACTTACTCAGGTGGTGGGGACTGGGGACAAACACCGGCCATCACTTTCAAGGAAATGAAAGGAGGAAGGTAGCAGAGGTATTCCATATGAAAATGATTGTTTTTCTACTCATTAAAGAATTGACACATTAGCCATCAGTGTGTAATTAACTACTCCATCTTATATTTTTGTGCATTATGAAATCTATATTTACTGGTCTTTCTTTTTAAACATGCGTGTGCACTGTATATGCATTGAAAGGAGTGTTATTCCAGCCCGGTTGTGCAAGCTATTGTTCATTTACAGTCGCATTTTGTTATCTCTAATTGATTAAAAAATTAATTATATAAATTATAATTTAATGCCTCTTTTCTATTTTTTTTTTTAAATAATAAAACATTGACTTTTAAGACCAAACTATCCTTTTATTTTTTATTTTTTATTTTTATTTTTTGGTATCCTTAGTATACCTTATTCTTTCCTTTGTTACATATATTCAACTTTATTTTTTTCCTCTATTTTTAACTATTGTCTTTATTTTCTTTCCATTCTTTAATTTCTTTTCTTTTCTCTTTTTTGGTTCAATTGTCTTATATATATACATATATATATTCACCTTAGGATTTTTTATTGGATTTTATGTAATTTAATTGAAATAATATAATGAGATTGAGTTTTAATTGAAGTAATATTATAAAATTTAAGTTTTAGTTAAATATGTGAAACAAAAAAAGTATGGTTTTCCTGTTCACAATATGATTAACTAATATATGTGTGTGTGTGTGAACAAAAAAAATGAAAGAATTGAAAACAGAAAGAAAAAAGAAAAAAACAATCAATTCACATAAGTTTTTTTTTTTTTTAATATGAATCTAGAGAAGAGAGGGGCACGGTGACCATATGTGTGTGTGTATATATATATATATTAGAGGATAATTTGATCTTAAAAATTAAAATTTTATAATTCTAAATAAATTAAAAATAGACATTAATTATAACTTTTATAATTAATTTTTTACCCAAAAATGAATAGCACTCCTCATGAATTGATACCCATGCTGTATTGCACCATATTCAAATATTATAAGAAGACCTACTCCTAATAGTATTTAAGCGATATACATATATTTTTATAATTGTGAGGTTTTCTATAATAAGTTCATACTCATCGTAACAAATGGAATCTATAAAACTAAGAAGAAAAATTTATGGGATTGAGGGTACAACTGGAAGAAATTGTAAAATAAGGGATACCTACAGAATACGAAACAAAATTGTACAGAAAATAAGAAAACTATAGAATGATGGAAATTAATTATAAAACATTGTTAGACAAAGGGATGGGTACAAGTGTCTGCTTTCGCGTACTTTCGACAATTACTTGTCATAATTGTTTATCACATACACTTTTTAACATGGGGGGCCATGCAAAGAAAGAGTACGGACGTCGCGACCGGGAAAGCAAGTAGATGGTCATTGTTGCTGCTTTAATTTTGTGGGTGACAAAAGTTTATTCTTTTTTTCATCTCTAAATTACACTGACATCTTTTTTAAAAAAACATTCTCTCCTTTATTTTATTTTTTTCCTTTTTCCGGACAATTAACTCTTTTTGAGTTTTTTTTTTTTATTTTATTTTTTTTATCATACTCTTCTTGATATATATATATATATATATGTATTTTTGTCATTGCCAATAAACTCACACACACACCATTTACACACTTACTTTGCTCATTTAGAAACTTGAACCTTCACCATGTATTTTGGAAGGTGGATGAGATAATGCTCACCACAAGGCCCTTTGTACTCTTGTTGAGTTGAGAGAGTGGAATCTATGCCTTTTACTTTGAAAAAAAAAAAAATTAAGGCTTCGTTTGTTTGGATATAAAATATTTTTTCATTTTCTGGTATTTGGTTGTCGTAAAATATTTACGAAGAAAAAAAATATTAAAATTTAACAAAAATAACGTATCCATTAATTTTCGACATGTTATTTTACATACTCCGCTCGATGGATTCCTCAACTTTGATATAAACCTTTACTGAACACTGAAAAAGTAAAAAAATATATATATATATTTTACCAGAAAAGAAAAAAAAATTCAAAATTTTTTTTTATGTCAAAACACTAATTATTTGTGATTTGAAATCTTTTTATTTTTATTTTTATTATGAATAAAGAATTAATACAAGAATGGCAATTCGATGCATACAAAACAAGCTTAATAAATATAAAATATTCGTATCGCTTCTCATTTTTTTTAACTCTGGAAATTTTTTGTCAGTGATTTTAGTTTGAAATTCTCTCTCTCTCAAGTCATCTCATTCCCGTGTGTATATATATATATATTTATTTATTGGGTAATGCTATTTATAATTGAATAATTACGTCAAGTTATGAATAGAAGGGGGAGGTGGATCTTCACCCACTACATTTGAATCATTATGCATTTATTTTCTCTCTTAGTATAAATGATAAAAGTACTCATAATAATTCATTTTTTCATTTATGAGTTAGAAAAATTAATGTTATTTCACTTTAAAAGTATAATATATTTATTAAAAAATTAGAATATTATATTTCTTAATCCAAAAACAAAATAATACTAATGCCGAGTCATTAATATTATTTTCAATATGTTTTACATGATTTTATCTTGTAAATTTTTATTAATTATTCTCTCCCGTCTTATATAGTCAGTTACTTTTTCTTATATATCTATACTACTAATAAAAGTTGATTCAATATATAATATTTATATACACTTTAAAATACTTATTTTAATTAAAAAATATTTTTAAATGATTTTCATGTACCATTTTCATCTCTTACCAAGGGACGCAAACTTTGGCAAAACTTTCACATCTATTGGTTCTATTATAAGATAGGATATCTGATATGAAATTTAAATATTTTTTATTATTTATATATATTTTTAACAATTTTATATTACTTTGTATTTAAAATAAAACAGTGAATTAATACATTTTGGACTGAATTTTTGTTATTAATAATTTATTTTTGAAACACGTAACGTTTCATTATATTGATCTGCACATTGCTTCCTTTCTTCAAGGAACGCATACGTTCATGGCTTCCCTTTTTTAAGAGACACAAATGTTCGACAAAAGTTGCACATCGATTGATTGTGATATATATAAGTTAGGAAAGAACTAGTTCAATATGAAGTTTTGACACAAAAACATTGAAATAGAAAAAAGACAAAACGAGGTCCGGAGATGGTTGTTAACAAAGAAGAGAAGTTTGGGAGCAATGACTTGATCAATTTGGTTGTTGATTGAATCTTGTTGATGAAGAGTTTCAGATATCATTCAGAAAGGAAAGAAAGAAAAAAACAGAGCCACGGATAGATGAGATAGAGTTTGAGTTTCCTTTTTTTTTTTTTTTTTTTTTTTTTTTTGATAAACTACAATGACACCCCTATTGTCACCATTTAACACTATCCAACTTTGACCTCTTTGACAGAAATACTATTGAAAATCTTCACGTAAAACTCTAACTTTGTATTCCTTATTGAACTAATTTTTGCAATTTTAGGGTTATGTAACATAGTATATGGATGATAGCCTCAATGATGCATCACCCAATAAGTTTCAGGTTTTTTTATTTTCTTTTACTATATATATATATATATTGGTTTCCTTGGTGTTTAAAAATTTTAACATTAAATAATTGAATCAATCTTCACTAAAAACAGTTGATATCAAATTAGTCTACCTCAACTTTCCACTCACATCAAATAATCCAATTAATTCTTCGCAATATCAAATAGGCATCAAACCGGAGTAGGCACTTTGGTCTATGGATTTATGGTAGATACACAAGTTGGCCTCAATGATGCATCACCCAATAAGTTTCAGGTTTTTTTTCTTTTTCTTTTTCTTTTACTATATATCATGTATATATATATATATATAGGTTTCCTTGGTGTTTAAAAATTTTAACATTTTAATATTCGTCATATCATTTCAAGTCTCTTCCTAATCCGAATTAATATTATTACATCTTCTTTTTTTTTTTTTTTTGGATGAATATATATATATACACACACACACATATATATCTCTTTCTATTGGACTTAAGAAAGTATTATATACATTTTAACATCCTTCTAAACTAAACAAATTACTAATATTTTTTAAAACTGGATAAATTGTTGATAAAGAGTTAGCTTTAAATTCAAACACCTTTTAAACCAATTTCCTATTCTCCTTAGTTCTTCACGTTGATGGTTACGTAATTAAGTTAAATCACATCTCTAATGAAATTAGAATTGAAATTTTATTTTTCAATAAAAATAAATGATAGTAGATATAACAAATTCACTAATATATCTTTCATTATCAAAGTGAACAGTTGTGCCATTTTTATCCGTATATATAAATTGTTTGCATATTTTACAATTCTGGACATGGCATGTGTAGTTAATTATAATTAATGAAAAAAATTCACGCCCATGTAAGTTTTATACCAAGTTTTAACAATGAAGGAATTGCATTCACATTCAAAATAACACCTCTTCTAACAAAAAATTGGATTATGGAAAAAAAGAAGAAGAAAATTCTCATGCCTAGCATGCAAGTGTGAAGTGACAGATTTAGATATAACTAAAGAGTTAGATTCACATGCATATAATTAGGAGGATCTCAGGCGTGTGTTTAGGTTCTTGACAATTAGCCGGCACACCTTACATCATAATTCACTGATGTACATAATTATATCAAAGACTTTTAGAGTAAGTAATTACGTTTTCTATTGTTGGTATTTATGGAGATACTTTTTAACTTTATTATTTAAAGTTTGAAATAGAATTTGTGATTTGAATTTGATAGCATTTTTTAAAAAATAATTATTAATAATAATTATTAATTATTAATTGGTTTATTCCAAAGAGAAAAGTTACCCTTAAGACATTTGATCCATGATTGTTGAAGACATAAAATTTCAATTGAACGTTAATTTAGGTCTTTAACTGGTTTGATGTTCCAGATTATGCAATAGTGGGACACGAGTTAGCTAGATAAGAGCTTTACGGCTCCTTGATGTCATTATTGATGATTTATCATCTTCTTCTTAATGAGTCTATTCAATATGTCTCTAATTATTAAATCACTTAATTAAGTATTTAACAAACATAAACATGTTTATTAATATTAAGATATTAGATATACATTTTTTTTTTTTTTTTTTGTCAATTTCTTCATTATATTGCAAAAAGAATCTAAAGTAATTTCTGGAAGAAAAAAAATTAATAATCATTTCTCATCACGTGATTTTTCTAGTATATATATATATATATCAAGGAAAAGAACACATACAATAATGAGATAAAGTATAACTGTACAAGATTAGCGTTAAAGTTTATTTATAATAATAATAATTTTGCCAATTCTAATCATATAAGTTGATTTATATTAGTAATTATCTACATGCCTAATCAGATAAAATATCTTGTAATTAATTTCAGTTTGCAGTACTTTTTTAGAAGTTACTGTTGTTGTTGTCGAAGACTGGGGTCCACAGCGTCCACGTCGATTCTATCATTCAGATCCGACTGTGTGAAATGATGTTCTTATCCCGCAACCGCAATAATAAAAATAAAAAAAATACTCGAATCCAAAAGACTCAAATCAGTCACTCCATCAACCTGATTGTTTGCTTTTGCGGGACCCACTACCACCAGGTGGAGCCCACTCGTCTAATACAGTCGAATCTCTGTGTAACAGTGAAAAATACAGATTTGTAGTTGGTACTTTCTCTCTCTTCCGACATCTCTCCACCGATTGTCCAGAAACCTCACTAGGGTTTTCGCAGCTTAACATTGCCGTAAACTCATTTCAATTTATTCCCATTATACAGAATACCAGATCACTGAATCTACACTTCGTTTCAGGTTCTGTTTTCTGACCTCAATCTCATCTTTAAGCTTTTGTTGGTTGTGGTGCGCGCATTTTATTTTATTTTTTATTATTATGAACTCATCTTATGCGAATCTCTATGTTTGCTTTGCTGGAATTTTACTTCTGCGAACTTTCATCCTCTGTTCTCGGTTCAATTGAGCTTTCTGTGTATATTTCTGCACATTTACACACAGTTCTGTGTTTACTGGATATGGATTCATGGATGAACTAATCCATATAATTTATATATGCATCGTATTTTTTACTGTTAGGGAAAGGATATTGGAAAATGAATATAAGGCTTAGCTTAATTGATGTTTTTGTTTTATTGGTTACCGTGTGATAAAAGAATTTGATTTTCAAGTACTTTATTTTCTTATTTTCCTGGAGCAACCAAATCTGCAATGTTTCTGCTTTAGATTTGGACTTGCTTACATGGATTTGATTACGTTGGTGGATTAATGATGCATTATAGAAATATTTAAAAATGAAATAATTTGATTATCATTTATTTTCTTAATTGAGATTAATTCGTAATACTATCAATTAACATTTGGTTTTTCTTTCCCTGCATTGTATCTGAAACCAACTGCCCGTCACAACAGAAGGATGAGTTTCTTTACTGAGTAGTTCAATTATCCGTGCTTGCAATTTTAAGGGATCATTGTTACTCTGGCTGCCGAGCATTAGAACAAGAGTTTGAATTAGTGGAGCCCCTTTTGAGCAAATAATGTAAAAGCTTCCCAGAAACTTGTATAGGCAGAACCAGTATCGGAAGTAATTCAGATACCTGTGCTTGCATTTGCATTTATTTTTCGATTCTTCAATTATATAACATGTGTAGTTAAAACATAAATGTCTTATTAATCGCAAAATGCTCTTTGAATAGTCGGTATTGGATTGAGCAGATACTGTTACTATGATATTGTTGATTAATGTCAGAAAAGGAAGAAATATTAAAATTTTGGATCCTATAATTTTTACTGCATGAAGCCCAATTTAACACAATAAATTGGTTTTCATTCATTGATCCGGAACCGGAAAAACATAAAACATAAAATTAAAAAATTCCCTTCCTTTTCCTTAGTTTAATGCCCATATAGCATCCGAACAAAGAGTATGGTATCCATAATTACATTGCTTATTCATCTGGCATCCTGGTGTGAGAAGATGTTGAGCCTGGCTCAACTAGGCATCACACTAATGGACCAACACACAGGATTTTTGGATTCCAACTTCTTAACATGCTAATGCATAACGTTATCCTTTAAGTAAGAGTTTCATTCCCTTGTTTCATTTGAAGTTCTAATGAAATATATCTCTTCTGCTTTGCTATTTTTCTTCTCTTAGTTATTCTCTCCTTTTTTTTTCCCAGATAGGGTGGGGGTGGGACAAGAGAGTGATTATCTGAAACTTTGTGATTATTTCAGGGGTTGGATGGTGCATCTTGAAATGATTAAAGGTCGTGGAACGAGTCAATGAACTTCTGTGTAATCAAAGAGAACTCTGGAGTCTGGAGTGCATGTGCTGTGATTCATCTCTGAGTTCAGATGTGTCCAAAATGTTTCCTCTCCATTGGATTAATATAAACTTGAAAGGCTATGTTCTACCTTTTTGTGTTACTATATCCAACTAGATTTATTAACTGTAAACCTAAGAGATGGGTTCATTTCCTGGAACTTGTGAAATTGTTGAATTAAGGGAAGAGCTGAATTCAGTTGAAAAATCTAAACGAATTCATCTACCAAAACCATATGACAGAGAACTGAAGCCTCTGTCAAAAATGGGTTCTGATAATTCTCTAGAAGATGATATCAATAAGCTTTTTGAGGCAATTAATCTCAAAGGCTCATCCAAGGGTTCAGGTCTTTCAGACACGGCCCCCTCAAGGAAAAATGCGTCAAAGAAACCCATTAAGATCGGTGTGCCTCCTTCACCATCATTTGGCTTTTCTGAGTCAGTGTCTTTGAAGCAGGCACTAAGGGGGCTATGCATATCTCAGGCATCAGAACTGGCTGCCATGAAACGGTTATCTAAGCCAGCAGGTTCTCCTAGGGTGTCAGAAGCAGGTATGATCACGAGTTTGTACAGGTCTGTTGCAACTGAAGCTGGTGAATCTAGTGCTTCCCTGGAAGATCATAAGAGGGTGGCACCTGAAAGATCTCTAATGCCGGAAGAAAGCACATCAAATCCTTCTGAAAAGATACCTCCGTACCTTCAAGCTCCTCGATTTGTTGGGGCAACAGCAGAAAAGGGAACAGCGAGGCCATTTAGCCAAAGTGCCCATTCTTCTCCTCGATTTGTTGGGGCAACAGCAGAAAAGGAGAAAGTGAGGCCATCTAGCCAAAGTGCCCATTCTTCTCCTCGATTTGTTGTGGCAACAGCAGAAAAGGGAACAGTGAGGCCATCTAGCCAAAGTGCCTATTCTTCTCCTCGATTTGTTGTGGCAGCAGCAGAAAAGAAAACAGTGACATCACATAGTCAAAGTGCCCATTCTTCTCATCAATTTGTTGTGGCAACAGCAGAAAAGGGAACAGGATCCGCACCAACAGAAAATATACCAGCGTCAATTGAAGTTCGGAGTTTAACACCAAAGATAAATGAGATTGTACCTGCATCAACAAAGTCTTGCAGTCAAACACCAAAGACAGAGCTGGCATTGGAAGAACAAGTTGAACAACATAGAGTGGTTCCTTCTCTATCTTGTCATGATACTGGTGATAACATATTAAAGCCGGGTAAGAACATTCCTGCCTTAATTAGGTTTGAGAACAAAGTCCCAGCATCAAAGTCAAGGCATAAAGGAAGGTTTCGAACTCTTCCCTCTTCATCGAGTGTAATCAACACCAATAAGGTAAGCAAATCAACAAGGAACGCCCGTTTGGTCAAGCCAGTTGTTAAGAACAAGGCTATTGTTAAGAAGACTTTAAAGCACGATTCGACTTCTGCTGCCTCCATTTCTAATACAAATAAGGAAACTAATAGGGACTTGGATACTAATGCTACTCAATTGATTTGCCAGAGATGCCAATGCTCTTTGACAAATGAGAGGAAAGGTTCCAGTATAGATTCTCCAGCATCCAACTCTGCAAGTCTCGGTGCCGAGACCAGTTTGAGTAGTGTGAACTCTTGTGCCACCAAACCAGGCTTTACTTCCAATGGCTTTAATAAAAGCAGAGCTGTGGTCACAAAAGCTAACAAGAACTCAAAATCTGGAGAAAAAGGAGAAGTCTCCCAAAGTTCAAAAAGTAGCCTTGGTGAGTATAGCACTAGCACTAGCATCAGTGAAGACAGTAACCTTAGTGGGTCTAGTTGTGGCAATAAACCTCACATGTCGAAGGATTTAAGGTGGGAAGCCATCCGCCATGTTAGGAAGCAGCATGGAGATCTAAGCTTGAGGCACTTTAATCTCTTAAAGAAGCTTGGTTGTGGAGATATTGGCACAGTATATCTTGCCGAACTAATTGGAACAAACTGCCTATTTGCCATAAAGGTCATGGACAATGAATACTTGGCGAGAAGAAAGAAGATGCCAAGGGCCCAAACTGAAAGAGAAATACTGAGAATGCTGGATCATCCTTTTCTTCCTACACTATATACCCAGTTCATGTCAGATAATCTTTCATGTTTAGTTATGGAGTATTGTCCAGGTGGAGATCTGCACGTCCTCCGGCAGAAGCAACCTGACAGATATTTTCCCGAACAAGCAGCAAGGTAGGAAACTTAAATGAAAGGTTCATTTACGACAGTTCTTGCATATTTTTTTCAGCTTATGTACTGTCAAACGCATATTTAAAAACTGAACAAAAAAAAGTAGAAATTGATATACAAAGGCACTAATTAGATTATTAAAAGTTCACCACATACTAGGTGGTATTTGTTGCTTTTTTTTATATAAAATGCTAATTGATCATGAACATGGAAATGATGATATATGCATATGAAAGTTAAAACTGAAATTCTATCAAATAGAAATAAGGTTTCAAGATTCTACATGCTACATGTTTTAAAAGCTTTAAATTAGTTTTTCTAGAATGGGTGAAGTATATAATTCGACTAGTGCAGTGTTTGTAGTTTGTGATGGAGTATCTGTATGTTTATCCTTTGGGATAATTTGAATTCTTTAAATATTTAATTTTTATTTGGCTTGATTTTCGTACTAATAAATTATTATTATTATTTTTTAAATTCTTATCCAATCCATTCAAATGTTATATTTGTTGAAGATAATTTAATGTATCATTTAAAAAAGAAGAAGATAATTTCATATATCAACAGTCCCATTGTTTTGGGATTTTATTCATTTATTCAGCTGCTGTCACATTCTACTTTGAAGTTCCAAGATCAAAAGTTGTTGGAATCTGAATCTCCTTAAAAAGAACATGGTTGAAAAGCATATGAAGAAAAAGAGACTTCGAACTGTGTTGGATCTATTAGGTAGTTTGTCATGTTGACAATCTATTAGAGCCTCGTTATTACTCATCCAAAAAGGTTTGGCCTCTTTCATTGTAGTTCATAACATTTTCTCTGTTTTGAGCCTCCTCTTATTACTCAATCAGAAAGGTTGTGGCCCCTCTGATTGTAATACATAACATGTTTTCTATTTTTAAAATTGAAACTTAAAAAACGTGGCAAATTATTTGCTATAAACAACACCAGTTACTGAATCCCAATTCTTGAGAAAACAAACTTCTGAAAGCATTAAACAAATAAATGAGGGAATCATATTATGTCATCTGAAATAAAACAATGGTAATTGGTAGTGCCCACTTTTATGAAATTACCACTATTTACTGATGCCATCACCTCTGCCACGTCCATGACACTTCCATCACAACAGGTCCATCACACTACCTTGTGTCCTCTATCCCTACCAGTATACATAGCAGCACCGGTGCTGCAATCACAACTCAACTCTGCTACCTTCTCAGCTGACACCACCATCACCCCATCATGAACTCACTAAATCTGTTTATTGAGGTTTCCGTTTCTCATATAAACTTTGACTGTTGTTACCAAATGCACTTATTTTTCTCTATGTTACATGTACTCTTTTATATGTATGGATAGATGACACTTGGGTGTGGATATAGGATAAGTATCCAACATACTAGTTGAACATTCTTCTAACAAACATATTTAATCATTCAATTTATTATATAACAATGATTCAATTTTTCTATATAATTGGACCTAAATTTATCTTATGTTTCTTTTGTATACATAATTGCCTCAAAATGAGTGAAGTTCAAATTTTGAAAACACTATATTACATAAAGACACCATTTTACCATATAGAAGAAAGAAGAATATTAGAATGTGAATATTTAGTCATGTTCCTGTATTGCTGGGTTTGAAAATTTGATAAATACAATACTTAGAAGGAAAAGGTACAGATAACAAGGTTCCATGTACATGATTCAGAAGCAAATGAGATAGGATTGTTCTTTGAGATTTTGAAGACTGACTTTTATAGTTCAGCCTTGAGTTTCGTAAATCTTCCCCACCTCCGCAACCCAACCCCCCAACCCCCCCCCAATTTCTCTTTTTGGGTGGGGTGGGAGTGGATTTGTGTGGTTTGAGTGTTTAGTTTATAGATCATTTTAATTGGGTTTATGTATGACCTTGGGTTGTTTTCTCTTCCTAACTTCTGCGTATGCTCTAAAGACTATTTTGATATGTTGGCCTGATTAATAATTGGCCCTTTAAACTATTGTTTGGTTTTTAGTATTAAATGTCGGTGCCAAGTATAATGGACATACATTATTGAATCATGGACTCCGAAGGCATAATTTTGTTAAGGAGCAAAATTTACTAAAAAGTAGCACATACAAATGTTCTAACTGTGTCGATATAGTAATGTTTTTATTGACTTTCTTGGGATATTTTGAACATACAAATATGATTTGGTGCTGATAATGAACTTTGTACTGGTTTATTGCTGTCCATGGGAAATCTCTCTCTCTCTTTCATATTCTGATAATTTGTATGGCCATTAATGTAATTGAAAATTAGAAATCACCAAATTAACAAAAAATATAGTCGATAAAACATATTCTTAAAATAACTTTGTCAAACAAGTACATAATATAAGATAAATGAACAACATTACCCATTTTACAAATTATTGCACATATCATATACGATATGATTGTGTTCAATTCAAAATCAAATAAATAAAATTGATAATGGTGAATGATTATTCTTTATCTGTGGTTTGAGTTGAGTAATGGAAAATCAGGATTCATGTAGCCTACCCCAAGTGGTTGGAAAAAGGCTTTGTTGAGTTGAGTTGAGTAGTTAATAACTTATTAACTTCAAGATTAATACAAAAGTGATCTAATTGATACATGTTAGTATCACAAACAATAAATATGTAATCAAGCTTCATTCCTTCCTCTAAATCCAAAAAATATTCAAAAAATTATTTAAATTTGACCTTAATCTAAGCTTTAGAATGATATGAGAGATGCAAGCTTGGTCTCTATTGATTCTTGATAGAGCCTTGAAGTATGTAATCTAGATTTAAATAAAGAATCCAACCTCAATTAAGGGAAAAAAAGTAGAAACAGAATGGAGTGAAAACTGGTCTCCTGCCTTGATTTTCTTAGATTTGACCTTTTTAAAGCTTTATTTCAGATTTAAGCCTGAATTTTGATTTTTTGGGTGGCTGTTGAATTTCATATATCTAGACAAAACACATGTTATTAGAAGATTTGTAGGGAAAAATGAAGAAAGAATGGTGAAATAAGGCTGAGAAAAGGGCTTTTGTAATTCACATATTGCTAGAGACTAGAGGGCACTAGTGGGCTGTCATGGATTCTCGTGGCCACTATGCATGTGATTGCAGGTCTCGTTGCAATTGCAGCTTGTAGTACTCTTGCTGAGGCCTGTGACTGTTATGCCATACGCTATTGTTTGTTGTTATAGCGGAACAGTTTCTACCTGTCACAACATGTTCATTTCCTAGGTTTCCAAAAATATTCCTCTCTGTCTCTCTCTCTCTTCACATCTTCACTTAGAAACTGTCTTTCAAGCTTATATTTGTGCTTTAGATATCAATTTAGTAAGATTTAAACTCAATCTTAGGCCAGAGACTGCGAGAGTCCTGATATAGCAAATTATTAAATTTTTTTTCCGGAGGTAGGATATTTTTATGTCCAAATGCACCATCAATGATTATTTGACTACCTGTAGTTATACTGATACAATTTTTCTGTTTAGTTGCAATCCTAGTAAAGTCATGGAAAGGCCAAGAATCAAATTATATTTCCACTTTTAGATTCAAAATAGCACAAACTATGGTTGTGTCTTTAAAATCCAAAAAGTTTATAACTTAAAAAAGTCCAAAAAGTTTATAGGTTCAGAAATTACATCTCTTGGTTAGAAACAGGGAACCATGTTTGCCACTAATGGGCATTTAATAATGTATGAATTGATTTGACATTCTCATTACCATTACACTGTGACCAATTGATCTGCTCTTAACATTAAACCTCAGTATACATATGAGCTCTAAAAATCTTCAATCTAGTTGCTCTGGAAGTTGACTTGTTTCCATAATCAGAATTTATGCCAGAAATTAAATTTAAAAGAAGTTTGGTATTCAAAGAAACTCATTGAATATTGAAATTTTACTTGCTGTTTCCTTTTCTCAATCATGCAATCTTCAAAATATTGTCATAACTTGTATCTGCAGGTTCTACGTTGCTGAAGTCCTCCTTGCTTTGGAGTATTTACATATGCTTGGAGTTGTCTACCGAGATTTGAAACCAGAAAACATTCTGGTCAGAGAAGACGGCCACATCATGCTTACAGATTTTGACCTGTCTCTTAGATGCACTGTGAACCCCACCCTCCTGAAATCATGTTCGTCAAATATGGAGCCCCCGAAGATGTCAGGTCCATGCACCGGATCTAGTTGCATTGACCCTTTTTGTATTGAACCATCGTGTCAAGTCCCATGCTTTAGCCCTAGGATTTTACCGACTACTGCAAAATCAAGAAAGCTAAAAGCTGACCTTGCAGCCCAGACCAGATCGTTGCCACAGCTTGTGGCTGAGCCAACAGATGCACGCTCCAATTCCTTTGTCGGGACCCATGAGTATTTGGCCCCCGAGATCATCAAAGGAGAGGGTCATGGAAGTGCTGTTGATTGGTGGACATTTGGCATCTTTCTCTATGAGCTTCTGTATGGTAAGACACCCTTTAAGGGTTCTGGTAATGAAGAAACTTTAGCCAATGTGGTGTTGCAAAGCCTCAAATTTCCAGACATCCCCCTTGTTAGTTTCCAGGCAAGGGATCTCATCACAAGCTTGCTAGTAAAGGAGCCTGAGAATCGGTTGGGATCGGAGAAAGGGTCTGCTGAAATCAAGCAGCATCCATTTTTTAATGGCCTAAATTGGGCTCTGATTCGCTGTGCTATTCCACCGCAGCTACCTGAGTTCTGTGATCTTGAGGTTCTGAACATGGCCACTCAGGAAAAGGAGAGAAAGTTTCTGGAGTATAGGGCTACAGGAGAGCACCTGGAGTTTGAGTTGTTCTAGCAAAATTCTCTTCTTTTCGGAAGAGAAGCTCTCATGTTAGGTATTAATCCTTACCTCTCCTCCCTTGTTGTAACTTATTTCTAGCATATAATGTAAATTTGGTTGAGAATATTGTGGAATGCCATCGTTTATGATATCGGAAAATACCATTGGCTGATAATAACCTTGATAAAATGTTTTAAAATGCCCAATAAGGAGAGCTGATAAAACGTTTGGCTTCTGGTTAGAATTTAAAACGTTATAGTTTGTTCTTTGTATAGCTTTGAATCTGCAACAGTAGGCGACAACTCTCTCCTGTCAAGCACATCCATGCACATGCAAGCATTCAAAATTTTGAATTTTAAAAAATTTCCTTCTCATTCCGATCTCTTAGTAAATACTTGTAAATAGTTGGTCATTCTGTACAAATAGAATTAGTAACTAGAAATTACATACATAAATGACGGGGTGAGTTAGTTTCCCATCATTTTCAAAGAAGGGCTCATCAATGTTGGTTAGATTTTCGAAAATGTTGCTGCCACTTCATTCTAAATGGAATCCTTAAAGTTGCTGTTTGTGGATCACTTTGACATGTAAAAAGCAATATCCCTGTGGCAATAGCTTGCTTTACTTGCATAGGCTTTATATCTACCCCTCTTTCAGAAGCATGAATGCATTCCTAGAAGATCATATGCGTAGTAAATTTCAGTTTCGTGTTTCCTGCTGCATTTATGCCTTCAGATCTGCATGTGTCTTCTTGTCACCTTTATGAGGGGCAGATCACTCTGCAAATATAGGAGAACCATCCAAATCTAACCCAATTGATGAGTATTTTTTTTTGTTAATCTGTGACTAGATTTTCCTCAAAATGGTTGGGCATCTCCATCTTTAATTTTAAAACAAAACAAAAATATTTGTATTATATATTAAATGACAGGAGGACAAAACTGGCAATATCATACAGTCCAAATATTATACATGCAATTGTGTTTAGATGGGAAATTCCTTAAATAGAAATATATCTTTATATGGGAGTCTTTTGTTCTGTCTTTAGAGTTTTGATTTTGACTAGTAGGCTAATCAAATAAATACATAAAATTTATACGCTAATAAGAAAAAGTAGTCTGCGGGGAACTACTAAGAAGAGACATTGCTCCACAACAGTAAGTCATTTTCTAGGTTTTTGTTGACGAACGGTGAACTTTTTACTGATGACATGTTGATCTAATGGTACGGGGTGACACAGGATGTTGGTTTTGAGACCCCCAGTTGCCGGAAAAAAAAAAGTTGTGTAGATATCTCAAGTTCTTCTTTGCTTAGCATATATATATATATATATCTTAAATTCTTAATCATTTAATTGTTGTTTTAAAAGTTTCCTCATTCCTGTTTCAATCCTGTACCTTCGCCCCCATCCAGTTCCCCCTTTGTTTTAATTTTGTTCAGAATCCCTTTTTATCCCACCAGATCGTGTATATTTCCCCCCGGCCGAGGTAGTTTTGTTTCTTTGCTAGCTTTGTATGTTCTCTTTTAACTTCTTTGCTTGTTCCCAGAGATCATATGGGTGGAAGAGGACCATATTATCTTACATTGCTAAAAGTAATGCAAGTATACTCTCTTTTTCTGTGAGCATGTGAAGAAAGGATTGAATGGTCCTGGCCAATCACATGTAGCCATGTATGCAATTGTGTCAACTTTTTGCTTATGCGGCTTCATGTGATTGGCCAGGACCATGTAATAATGCGTTCCATTACAAATTATTGCAGTACAGGTGATGGTTAGATACATAGGCTCTTATCATGTGTATAGGCGTTTCATGTGGATGTGAAAGGATATCTTCTGTTGTATAATTAATTGTTGCCTAAATAAAGTCCCTTACATTATTGACCTAGATTCTGTTAACAAGAGTGTAGTGAAGTTGGTTATCCTTTGATACAAATAAGTTCGTCCTGTATGATTGATGATTACTGTACTCAAGTTCACTAACCCTATGATTTGCGGATTTAGTGAGGGAAAGAAAAGACAACGCCAATGGACTTATCCTTGTTTAGTAACCATGGCAGGCGTGGGAAAAAAGAAAATACGAGGAAGAGCAGTGGAGAAATTTTTAGTTTACATTTTACTATCATTTTCTTTTCCATGATTCCTATTATTATTATTTTGAAATATTATTAAGACGAAAATTGAAGATTTCTCTCTTTTAAGTTTCCTCTTTCCTTATCATATTTGCAAAATCAAACATATTTTTAATAGAACAGGCATATAGACCATTTTTCCCTCCATTTGGTTGCTCTTGATGGCTAGGAATTGTTCTTTTGACTGCCAAATTCAATCTATATAATAATTCATGCTTTTCTATTGTTGTGGTTAACTGGTTATGGCCTATACATCCATAATAACAAGCAAATGCCTTCTCTAATTCTTCATTTTTAGCGTCTTCCAACCTTGGAAACTTAATAAAATTGTTGACAATCTTCATATGCGACTTTGAAACAACATGAGGATTCATACAACAATCTTTTTACTTAAAAAAACAGTTTCAAGGTCATACGTGAAAGGTAATAAAACGTAGGGTCAGTCAAATTAATTTGTGTTTATCCTAGTTTCTCGGATCATTGAACTCATTTATTGGAAAATAATGTAGCATATAAAAATAGTCCTATTAAGCAAAGCTCAAACCCAGTCGCTAAAATTGTTAAATTGGTGATCAAATCAATTTATCAAAAAGCCATTACTCATATTCTTCTATAGCGTTCTGGGAGACCTATAAGTCATCTTATACAGTACAAATAAAAAGAAGATTTTTAATTTTTTATTTATTAATATTACCAAAGCACCCTGAATTTTTTAATATGCTTTGGTAATTTAAGCATATTAAACTTTGAAATAAAGCCAGAAACAAATGTGACGACTGACGAGGGATGGGATAATAGAACATCAATTCTCATACAAATAAGAAGCAGATTTACATCTAAAGGACAACCTCTTGTTCCAAACTTGTTGAACTGGTGAAAGAACTGGTTCGGGCAACCAACATATTGTAGAGGTTCTCAGCTGTTGGACGATCAGTAGGATTCCCCTCAGTACACTGACGGAACATATCAACAAGAAATCTTAAAGTATCATCCGGTTCGGCCTCTGGTCCGGCCTTCAGCTGAGTGTCAGATTGAGCCATTGCTGCAGGCTCCTCCAGTGAACCCAATGCTTCTAGCTCGTCTGGTAGTTGTGGCCGTTTTCCTGTGTGAAGATGGTGATGAATGTTTGATTCTGGCAACCCTGAATAAGGGATTTGCAGAGTTAACAATTCCAGTAGTAGACAACCAAACGACCAAATATCCACTTCCAGCCCATACTTGTTGCGTTTATCCATTGCCTGAAACACCTCAGGAGCCATCCATGGCGGTGTTCCAACACAAACATCAGGTGGAGGTATTCCAGTATGAGCAATACAACATGTATGCAATGAAGAGTGAAGGGGAACTGCCATATCAAAATCACAGAGCTTGACAACAGGTGAATATCCATCAGCTCTCTTCCTATCGAGATCAATCAAAATGTTGTCACTCTTAATGTCACGATGAATAATGTGTTTAGAATGCAGCTCTGACAAAGCAAACGCGACATCTCTAGCAATACACAATGCCAACCCAGGTGGGAGATGCTTCTCACCAGCTCTTGATAGCTTCTCTATATAATTCTTCAAGGAGCCCCCTTTGATGTACTCCATCAAGATGGCAGACTGTAATATACGATGCTCTGCTGGCTTCCCATCATCCCATTTGGAAGATATCTGATGACCATAAATTTCCACAATACAGGAATGCTTCTTCAAAGCACTTAAAATTCTTACTTCCCCCAAACACCTGTACTCAAATTTCTTGATTTCATCTACAGAAGTAGTCCCACAAACTTCTAAAGTATGCAACTTCATTGCAGCCTCAACCGATCCAATATTGCAGCGGAAAAGAGTACTAGAAGCAGTTCTGCCAATTTTATCACATGCAGAGAGAGAATTCGAAGGAAAGTAACAACTTGGACCAGTAAGAGGAACATTAATCCGGCCAAGAGGAATGTACCTGCAAAAATATTCTGGATCTGTCTCCTGTCTTATATCATGGGGACGACACGCATCAACTATCATACGTACCAATGAATCCCCCTTCTTGATGACAACTATATTCCAGGCATGCGGTGAAAAATCCAAATAGCCCCTAACAAGTTCACAAGGTACCCGAAGCTCCATCCGGTCACACAAGTACTTCAAAAGCAAGGCTCTATGTCTACACACACCAAACTGCAGAGTCCCAATAGGAACTACCATTGAATTCCGCCTTGTTTTTATACACTCAAGAGATTTCTCACACAGATCAAAGAAAACAATATCTTCTGCTGCTTTTGAGGATTTCCTAATACTGTCGCTGTTTCCAGTTGTGCAGGTACACACAAAAGGCTTCCGGTAGTTTGAACCGGATACAGCTTTTCTTGTCTTCTCAATTGTTGCACTTTTATCACTCCCTCCAAAGTGATCAGATACAAAAAGAGCAAGCAATGATGCAATCTGAAAATTATCAATGTAGGAACCATTAATCTGCTTAAAATGAAATATGAATGCTTGAGCACATAATGCAATGGCATCTAAATCCTCATCTCTTTTCCTGTCCACAAGAATGACTTCACGCGAGGACGAGGAGTCCATGTGTAGATTTTGATCATAAAATTCCAGTGGCATGAACGGGCGGTCTCGTCCTGCATCATAGAAGCCATCTGGGAGATGGTCCTCAATGCTACAGAATGATGTGTTACTATATTTGCAAGACAGATCTGCAGAGTGATCATCGTCAGTTGGTCTCCTATATTTGCTTGGTTTGGGATTATCAAAATCCCTATCAGGATGCCTTTTTGACGACTTTGGATTATTGCAATTAGATAATTCCGAAGATGAGCCTTCCCCTTGCACATCAGCAGAATTCAAACCAGAGTTTAGGGATGATGCTTCATGCCCCATACAATCATTTTTTCTGTCTTTACACACTTCAACAGAGTCAAACGTGACACATGAGCTGCAATTTTCTACATCATACTCCTTTTTCAAACTGATTTCATCATCCTCAACACTGATAAGCAAATTTTCTCCAGCATCTTCCCCAGGAAATAAATCTTTATTATCAATGTCAGCACCTACAGGATGTTTTCCTGATTTGCATTTCTCTTGCGTCTTTTGAGTCAATATCTCAGCGGAATTCTCACCTTTCCACTTCTTATTGCTGTTCAAATGTTGTTGATGAACTCTCTCTTGCAAATAATACCTTCGTTTCCACCCCTTGCGTCGCCTCTTTGATGCAAAACATCTACTGTTTGATGAGGATCTTGATGAAGCAGAGTGAGATCTATTTCGAGGGCTGTTGTAAATTTCCCGAGTGGCACCGTCAACCACGTCCATTTCGACTGAAGAATGAATGAATTCTTCATCGTTGGACGCGTCTTTCCCATTTCCCTCAAAATTGCAGCTTATCCATGAGGGTATTTGTATTTGACAACAGCTGAGAAGCTTATTGTTCTCAAGGTTTAATTTCTGAAGATTATGCATTGAACCAAGTTCAACACACCCCAAGGATGTCAACCTATTATTTGACAGGTCCAAGTTCTCTAATTTTTGCAGAGCTGACAGACTTGAAGGTAGTTTCACCAATTTGTTATTAGCAACCTTCAGGGATATCAAAACACTCAGATTAGTTATCTCAGTTGGTAAACTCCTCAACTTATTGAATGAAACATCGAGGCACTCCAAATTCTTAAGGCACCCAATTTCTGGAGGAAGGAATCTGATAGAGAAGTGACAAACAGCAAGCTTTGTCAAGCACTTGAGGCAAGCAATTTCACTGAGTAGTGGAAAAGCCGATGGACGAGGAGGCAAATTACAAAGCTCAAGCTCCTTCAAACCTTTCAGCTTGTGCAAAGGCAAACCAGTCAAACCCAAGGAGGATATCTTAACCTGCAAGCATTCCAACTGATCAACCAACTTCCCAAACTCCGCAGGAAAAATACTAACCTCATTGGCAAAGAATTTCAGCGTCTTCAACCCCTCCTGGCTGCCCAGCCACCGCGGAAGCAAATTGAATACATTCTTATACACATACAACCCCTTGATCATCATCGATTCCTCTGCGCCATTAGACACCGGAAAATCCAAGCTTCTGCCGGAAATATCAAGAATGGAATCATAATCAGAATTATCTCCGCTCGAAGCTGTTGTCACCGAAGATGTCGCTTCTTGGGCTTCTTCTTCTACTTCACTCGAACGATCTTTATTTGCAGGTAATGCCTCATCCGGATCTGATACATCCATTGGCTTATACAAAATCTAAATATACAAATCAGGGATAGGAGAGAAAGGTTAGGGCAATTTAGAGAGAGAGAGAGAGAGAGAGAAAGAAGGGATTTCTTCTGATGTTATAGAGATAGGAGGTTTTAGTTAGGGTTTGCGATGTTCAATCGTGAAAAGGACGAAGTATAGTTACATATAGTAGACATATATAGAAAGTGAGAGGGGCGGGAGGAGAAAGAGAACCGCTCCATGTTGTGTGGGACAAGAAGATTTACATCTAACGGTTAGTTTTAAAACCTTTGAGCCGGTCTTGTAAATTCAGTTACTGTGCTGTTAAAAAAATAAAAAAAAACTCAATTACTGTAGAATTATTTTATTTTGTTTCTGATTATTTTTCTCACTATCAATTTTCTTAAATAAAAATGTAAAAAGATATAATTGTAATTAAAAATTTATAACAAGGCCTAAATTTCAAAGTTATTTGTAAAAATTTTTTTGCAGTAAAGGTTAGTTTGGTTAGTGTGAATCAGTCAGAAAGGAAAAGAAAATAAATTTTTAAAATTTTTTAACTTTTACAATTTGGTTAGCTTGAAAAGATAAGTTTTCATAAAAGTAATATTTTGATTTTCTTCATAAAACATGCAAAAATTTTACTTTCCCTTGAAATTGTCATACCCATTATCAATTAAAGAATGATTTTCTTTCACAAATTAAGACTCCTAATTAGATTGTGACTTTTCAAATTAAAATTCTTCACTACACTTGCAAAAAAAAATGAAAAAACAAAAAAAAATAGACTAATCTAATAGCATAATATAATGCCAGCTTCCCAAAACAACAACAAAAAAATACATGAAGTGGCTAATTATAAAAAAATTATATTACCTTTGTCCCATTTTAAATATTACCTTCGAAAACTGTGACTCACACACACATATATATATATATATGCACGCATATATATATTTATTATTCACAAATCAATTGTATTTGCTAATTTATTTATTATTATTTTTAATATATTTATTGCATGTGTATTTTATTTAGTATTGAATTCATAAGTATATTTTTGGTCCGTAAAATTATTTTCTTTTTACTATTTTATTATCTAAACTAATAAAATAAAATTTTTTAAAAAAAATTTTCATGCTAACCAAATTTATTTATTTATTTTTTCATTTCTACCCAACCAAACACACCTAAGCAAAAAAGAGTATGCGGCGTTAATTTGTTCGTCTATAGCCACGCGAAACATGACCCATAACCACCAGCGAGAAGATACTCTCGAACGACGCTCTTGCAAGAAAATCAAGATGAGAGCACTTTCTGAGAAGAACTTTTGACTCGGCAGAGCATTCATGGAGAATGATTGATCTTTTGTCTCTTGAATTATTTTTCTTAAAAGAAAAAGAAAAATAAAATGAAAAGAAGCTAAGAAAAGTACTCTTACCAATGGGTTTAACTTTTTCCCTGATAGAAAAAAAGAAAGACAGACCGAGGTGTGCGTTTGACTGTCACTGTGTGTATATATACGTTACAGTATTGGGTTTTGTGGAACAAGCAACGAGACAGTCCTTTCATGGCGTCGAGTTCGTACGGTGATGATTTGGTGGTTCTCAATTGTATCGGCCCTCACAAGATGGAACTAGAGGCCAATCGCAAAGAAACTGTAATTTCAACGGCAGAGATCTCTAGTTGGGATTTGCCTGGAATTCTGAGTCACCAAATCGTCAATGTTAAAGCCAATCGAAATAGGCAAGATCTTTAATTATTTTTTCTATTATCTACGCAGTAACGCATAATCTTGATACTTGACGAAACTTCTAAATACTGGTGATTGTAACAGTCCTTTTATTCTGAATATATTTACAGGCTCATCGAACAATCTTCGTATTTCGGTGGCCTCCTCGGTGGTAGTTTTAGGTAAATTTTAAATTATTTTATCAATTGGTTGATTAGTTGGATTCTTTTTCAGAGGAATTAATTGGATATTGGATTTGGTTTAATCTTGATCTTTGTTGATGGATTTGATCTTTTTGAAGTTGTACATCTATAGTATTTGTCACTTGTTATTGTAACTCACCCAAGAAAATGTGTTGTTATCTAATATATATATAAAAAAAAATTGGTATTCATACCAAAACTGTAAGAAGTTTCCACGGAGTTTGTTTCAGATGCATTCATATTGTGGCGAGGAGAAGATGAATAGTTGAAGGCAAATTGAAATTGAATGTTATGCTGTAATAATGGAGCAGATATGTGTATTCATTCATTCATTTTATTTTTCACCTTTTTTTTTTTTTTTTTTTTTTTTTTTTTTTCTTTCTCCCTTTCATGTTCATATTTATTTATTTATTGATATTGTGGCATAAAGCAAAAAAAATCATAGGTAATGGTGGTTTTTTCAAAAATAATGAAGCGAAGTTGGATTCACCACCCATCAGATTGCTCTTATGTGCACGGTTTTTTCAAAATTATTCTCTTATCTGTTTTTTCCTGCAGTGAATCATGCTTGGACTGTATATCAATTCATTGGAATCTAGAAACGTTAATGATTGTTCTGAAGTTTATGTTTGGCCATCAGGTGGATGTTACTTCTAATAATTTTCTTCCCCTGTATGAGGTAATAATATGTTATTATTTCACATTTCATTTGTTTTCCTTTGAAATAAATTCTCACTTTACCACAATTTTGAGAATAATGTTTTTTTTTACCATTCTATATTCATACTTGCAAGCATTGCAAATAGGCTGGATCATGCTTTACAAATTTATTTAATTTTTTATTTTTTGCATCTGTATTCATCTAAAAAAGTGATCAGCTTCAATAACTTAATAACTTTACATTGCTAAAGGATGCTTACACCCTTTTAGAGTATCAAATAATGTTGTATTTTATCAAATAACAGTGGATTAAAGTGTGATTCCCCCATCATTGAAGTTCAGTATGCTTAGATTGAAAATTTAGTGCACAGTTGGGCGCATTGTTGTAAATATCTGATGTTGCTGTTACTCAGTGTTGCGGACAAAGGTGATATTATTAAGGGCCGATATATCAGTCCTGCTAAAATCACAGCCCTAGCAGATAATATGGCTGTTACCTACAGCGATAGTTTGGTCAAATGATATTTATGATCTCATTCCTGATCCTTTTCATTAATTTATTTTTTCCACTGTTGCAGCTTCTAAACCTACCTGAAACACATGCTGAAACTAGTCACTACATGCTAACTAGAATTTATAGCTATAACATAACATATGAAGTTATAGCTGTAAAGTATAAACAGCAAATTACTAACATAAGTTTATTGTATATTTAGATTAGTATTCAGTAAATAATACTCATTAAATTGTTAAATAATTAACTATGTCCTAATTTACTAATTATAAAGTATATTTTACCAATTAGTAATTAGTTTTAGTAATTATTTTATTATTATAATTCTATATATTAATTATGTTATAAATTATCAATATTCAATGTTCAATTTATAAAATTAAATTATTGACTTAGAATATTGATTCGATGATTGATTTAGAATATGTGATCAAATTATTTGATAAAACGTACTCCGTATTGGATAACTTTTATCTATTTTATTATTAGAGTTCTATATATTATATATTTTCATTTTTAGAGCATTTGTGGTCGCTAAAGTGGCAAAGTTAAAATTATTATTTTGTTATGGTTGTAAACGACAAACCTCAATACAGAATTCATTACCCAAGATAAACTGTCTTAATTAAATAAAATTCATCAGAAATCTAAATTTATGGAAATTTGAGATTAAAGAAATGTATATCAGTGCATTATAGGGGGAGTTAGGCATAGAATAGAATGCTCACAGCTCTGATAACTGTGTTTGAGATATTAAAGTCGTTATAACTTAAAAACTTTTTTGGGCTAAAAGACAATTGGAGAAAGAGAAGTGCTAAAATGAGAGAGGTTAAGATGTTACATTTAGCTAGAGCAAGAGTCACTTTTTGATCTAGGGTTGAGGAGGAGAGAAAGGGAGGGAAGCCAGAGCAATCTTGCTTAAAGTATCTGTAAGCAGTTACGAGTAATAAGGACATGTGGCATTTCACCTTCAAAATCACTGAAAAGGTCATAATAGCCTCTTTTTAATTTATTCAGCCATTTAAAACATCATCACCTATGATTACCTCTTATGGACTCAAACTTCCTTATCGAAAAAATAAATATATAAATGAAATAAATACAAAGAAAGAAAGAAAGGAAGCAATTGTAGATTTGAATGAGAGAAATATGTAAAGTTGGTATATAAACCGTTTATTTTGGAAAATAAGCCAAACTAAGACTTGATGTATAAATCTCATTCAAACTGGCCTTGATAACAAGTAAACTAGCAACTTGAAAGCCCATGCACCAACAAACCAGATAATCACAGAGCAGTTCATAGCCTAGTTGTACCAATAATACTTTGAATAGCATAATGAATGTTTCAAATGTTATAAAGAACCCCATGAGGCCGTGACAACTCAAGATTTCATTAGAAATAAAACCAAAATTTTAGATTCTTTTCTTTTTCTAATTTGCTATTTCTTTGGAAAAATAATACTGGTCTGCAACATGAATGCATTATACCTAGATGTACCTGAAATATGAGCAACAAGGATAGGGCTTATGTTAGATAGGATGAGCTGGAATGGGATATTTGGAAGGAAGGGAACAGTTGTTCCTTTGAAGGAGTGGAAACTGAAGACATCAATATATGAAATACGGAAAAATGGAGTCATCATTTAGGAAACTGAAGGCTGAAAATATATCGATGGAGCTGGTATCATAAATTTAAAATATCATGCTTGAACTGATGACAATGCACTATAATTGTGTTATTAGATCTAGGTAGTTAGTGGCTGATCTGTAGTAGCAACTGGGAATTTGATCCGTCTCCCATGGCTTTGACACCATTGCCTTAGAAAAAAAAATCTTCCTCATTCTGTAACTTTTTTCATCACTGGTTAGATTTCTGTAAGGCTCTGTTATCTATGATTTGTAACATCCTATTTTGGCCCTTTTCTGCCATCATTCATAGCTATAACTATCCACACTACATGGCATGTTATTTTCCAAAATTTTGAAAACTATTTACATAATTTATTTATATTTAAAAAATCCTTGCATTAATTCTTTCAGGGTGCACTATATTTTGGAGTGGAGACACTTCTCTCAAAGTGTAAAGTTTGGTTATCTGATGTAACTTCATCCAAGGAGCTTTGTTCACCGCAAGTAAAGTTGGATGATTTGATTCATATTTGGAATTTCAGTCTAGAGCATGGTAAGGAATCTCTTCTACATTCCTTTTACAAATAGTCGGGGATGGGGACTTAAAACATTTTGAACGATCTGTCTGACCGCTGCCTCTGTTCTCTGTTCTTGAATACTTGTTCCATATTATTTTCTGAACGATCTGTCTGCCCTTCAATTTTACTGAATGGACAAAATCATGTTAGTGTTAATTGTGTTTGATGATATTATGGCATTCAATCTGATAGATGAAAGTGGAATATGTTGCAGCAAATGATTTTATTCCAGAACTATGTACGAGCTATCTTGCAAGAAAATTTGTATGTGCTTTACTTTCACATATCTCTTGAGTATCCACCATTGACACATACTTATATAATTTCCTAGTTACATGTATTATCTGAATGGTTGGACTAAATGGACAGCTGTCTCTATATTGATTATCTTTGGAATACTGCTTTTATATTAAGGAGATGCTATGTGGTCTTTTGCTTTATACATGCAATGTAATTGATAGGTAATAAAGCAAGAACGCATGTAATTGATATAGAAGGAAGTTGGAATGCACAGATAACTGCATCTGAAATAGAGTTTGTTTTCAAGGATTTTTATCTCTTAGGACTCTCAATCTTCCTTCATCCATTCTTACTTCCTAGCATCAGTATCTGTTGGACCTCTAGCTCCAACTTAGGTGGTTATGATTCTTTTAAAGAAGCTCAATGATGATCCTTAGAGAAGAAGTTACTTGTTGGGCACTTGATGCCATCGAGGAGAGCAAAGTTGATACTTAAACTCAGGCAAGCCTTTCAATATTCTAGACTTGCAGAACAGAGGTCATACTTTTTGCAGTGATTGGAATAAGCCAGTGACAACGGATCGAGTCTGAACAAGATAACTAATTTTAAGTATATGATATTCCTAGGTTCTTTGATTTGATGCTTTGTGACAACATATTCTCATGCTTTGTGCAAAGTGTGTGTCATAGTTCTTTCTGGTTATGTTTCCATTAATGGACCTGATGTTTAATGGTTTTTTAGCAGATGTGGGCCATGTTCTCTAACTCTTTCGGTGATGTTCCATACAATTTATTACTTTCTTGTATAAAGCATCCCCAGTTGATTGTAGACAGGTTGGTTATCCATCTGTCAAATAGCCTGGAGCCTTTTCACACAACGGTAAGTCGGTAACCATGATACTAATATTCTAGTTATTTTCCACAGCGAGAAGCATCTTTCTGAGGCCCTTCTGGTATGGCTTGCTTGTAACACGAAACAAATTGAAAGCTTGAACAGCACTAATGGTGGATGCACCAACATTTTGAAAGAGGTATGGAAAGAAAAAGGAGATGATTCCTTCTTAGTGTGAGGAAAATAATATTTTCTGTGGAATAATCCTCTCTCTCTCTTTTCTCTATCACACACACATGCACATAAACGCAATAAAGAACTTACAATAACAAAGAGAAAGAAAGGGTTAGCTATAAGGCCATTTGAGATTAATGGCTCATGCATGGAAGACAATCCTTGGTAAAGCTCTAAAGTATACTTTTGGTAGATTAATAGTGTTGTATTACCTGGTTCAACTCTTTGTTTGGTTATACATATAACCAGATATGTTGGTCCAAGGCAGCTTAGGGTGGATGGCACAATAATTATGACAGTGTGTGATATCACAATATAAACAATGATTCAAGTATTGGTCTTTCTTGTGGTATTGGTGTAACTTGGTATGGACTACCAATAATGTTTTGTTGTATATGTTAAATAAATATATATTAAGCAGATTCTTAAGTAATGAAATGAGTACATTTAAATTTTAGCATGCGTAAGATAACCACAAAGAAAACTAAACTGCTTTTGCTACCATATTGTTGCTTCACGATCTTGTTTATGTTTGGATGTTGGTTTTTCAATGCTGCCTTCAATATGTCCATAGCTGATCCTGCTGGGATGCATCTTGATTCTCGAGTCTTAAAAATTTGATGTAATCATAAATCAATGTTAATGGGTGGTTCTCATAAACCTGTAAATATTTCAGTTATTTTACTATTGAATCAAGATCTAGGATGTTCTTAGAAACATTTGAGAATCTTGTAAATGGGGAAAGTATCTTAGGATACTAGATAGCAGAACATTTAAGACATTTTAGTTTTGGTAGTTTAAGAATTTGGTAAATTTCCATTGCCATGTAGATTTAGGTTTTGTGTATACGGGTGGACTGATTAAGTATTTGACAGTTTGATTTAAAATTAGTAAAAGAAAGAGTTCTCTATTTTATATTTTTTCTACATTGGAGCTACATAGAAATTTGCTTGGAATCTTATCTTTTGTTCTAGATGGAGCTTGTTATATTACCAAGAGAGATTGCAAACAACAAAGTTCCATCCACTCTTTAGTGATTAATGAAATGGGAAATATGATTAACCTTTGGATTGTAACTCTTACTATGAAACTGAAGTTGACTTTGTGAAACTCTGTACTGGTAAGGAGAATAATTGAAAAAATCAGAATTTATTTCACAAGTTCTATTAAAACATTTGCAAATCAAAATGCAAAATGGAATAGTCTCTGAAGTGGAGGGTCCTGTGGGGATGGTTGGTCCCCCAAACTACTCAGTGTGTCTCATGTGTCGTACTCTCAAAGTTGAAGCATAAAATTTCTCTCCAGTTTTAGAACAAGTATCAATTTCTCCTTTTTATCCTGCTTTATGTTATCTTTTCTGTGGCAAAATCATGGTGGCTACTGGAAGACACTTTTTACAGGGTTGTGTCCAACATTCAATGTAAGTTTTTGGTTGATAATCTAGATAAATTTTGAACGATGGTCATGAATGATATGACTGTCAGCAAAGTTTGAATATAATATGAGAGGTTTTATGTCTATGCGTCTCTGCAATTTAAGTTGTTTTATAAATGTTGAAAAGAAAATGCAATATCTTGTGAAATTTGCCTTCCATTATTTCATCTCATCTCTTTTGCCATTTTTATAAGTTGACTTGGCTCCTTGTAGGGGTAGAATCCATGTCAAGGATTACTGGGGGCTAAAAATTTATGTGTTTATAATTTTCATACATTTATGTACTTGATTAATCTAAGCCAGTTGACTGTTAAATTTTCCTGACTTGTCTATTGTTTCTGTTGAACAGATCCGAATTAGCCTTTTGCCATTGTGGTATGCTGCTGGTATGCTCAATTTTATTAATACTTCCCTTCAAGCACTTCAAAAATATTTATACCTATTTGTTCATCAAATCTGTCTTCATGATCAATAAATTTTGGTTCATGATTTAGGGAAAAAAAGGTGCTGCTTTTTTTCTAAGTTTGCTAATGAAAGCATTAATGCCATCCTCAGTCTAATGGGACATCCTTCTACAAGCTCTTTGGATGTCTTTGGAGATGGTGACTTGAGTTGCATGAGGATCAGATTGACCTCAGATACAAAGGTTTCCCTGTTAAAACTTCTCCTTTCGGTACTCAGTAGTTCAATATGCCCTTAGATATATCTCTCGACTTTGACATTCTTCTTGAAAGTTCGTTATCTTTGTTTTTGTAGTATTCACTATTCAGTTTCTTCAGTTTTGATTGATACGGATAACTAAAGTGGTTGAATAATTTAAACACTTTTTAGTGGTAGTTTAGTTGTATTTTTCTGTTTAAAAATGGAAAAAAAATGCTCCTCTCCCAACTTAAAATCACCCAAAAAAAAGAAAAAAGCCGTGTGCTATCTGCAAAATAAGAACTTCTATGGCTTCCTGGATAAGCATTCTGTATAATTTCTTCTGACACAGGATAGTTAACTTAAAAATCAAATTTCTGAAGGTGCCTTCATAATCAGAAAAGAACCACACACTGGAGTGTATAAAGTTCGTTTGCTTGGTAGAAGGTTCACAGCTTACTCATCACTTGAGAAGTTAGTTGAGATATTTACGTGTAGACTTACAATATGCAGGATCAGGATTGCTTCTTTTTTCCTTTTTTTGGTTATATGTGCTTTTCATTTCTCTCTCTCTCAAGTGCATATAATTTTGCGATGTATGTTGAAATTATTCGAATGAGTAAAAAAAGATTTTCTTCTTGGAAGAAACGATTTAAATATTGATTTTAATAGATTTTGGCACACCGCAAGTGTTGAAAGTTTGCATGGAAAACCTTCAAATTATTAAGACCATTAAAATGCATCAAGCCCCATATTATTTAGTAAGTCCATTAAAATGCATGAAGCCCCATATTATATATATATATATATATATATATATATATATATATATATGTGCATGCATGGAGAAAAAATTTAGATGCCAAAGGCCTAAAAATTAGTAAACTACAATAGAATATATAGAATGTAAATTTGATAAAATAGCAGAAGAAAAACAATATAACTATTACAATTCAAGACCAAATAGTTACTCAAAATAACTAATTTTGTTATTTAGGGTCGATAAATGGTGTAGTAAGTAGGATTAGAGCACAGTGGACTAAATGGAGGCGAGCTAGTTGTATTTTATGTGACAATCGAATATTAAATAAATTGAAAGAAAAATTATATAGGATGGTTACTAGGCGAGGTATATTGTTTGAAGCAGAGTGTTGGACATTGAAAAAGAAACAATTACAAGTGAGGGGAAAACTAAGAATAGATCATCCGAATATGCATCGGTTAGAAGAGGAAGGGTTTGTTTACCTATAAGGAAAGCTACAAAGAGGCCCTCCAAAACTTACATAGGATAAAGTAATTAAAAATGGTTTTTAAAAATTAATTATTAGTGGAGAGTGGAGACATGGTAAATAGGAAAGACTGGAAAAAGATAATTTATGTGGCGGACCCCATTCGTATGGGACAAAGCCACGGATGCTGATATACATATACATGCGTTTGTTTATAGAAGGGGCAGCAGGGTGGAGGAGAGAGCGAATAATTCTAAGGGGGAGGAATTTTATTTTGCAAAGGCAAGAACTGGAATTTTATATGGATGTCTTCAATGTGATACTGTCCTTATTTGTAAAATTGTGCACTTGTTTTTCAGAATCTCGTGTAGCTCTGTCATTCTGATGAAGAAATTCAGAGGCTGTAACCTTCATAACTTATTAGTTTTTTGATACATCATAATCTAATTAACGAGTTCAAACCCATCGCTGTTTTCATCTGCCTGAATTTCTGTGCCAATTCTGGACTTTCATGTAGGTTATAATTATATAATATAGTTTCTCCCTTGTGCAGAAAGTGGACCTTTCCGGTTGTCCACAGATAAAACCAGCTGTTCTGCTTCTGTCTATGCTTCCGTGTTCATATAGTATGGATCCTAAGTTAAGAAAGAATATCAAACAGTCTCCGACTAACCTTGAACGCCTTAATGGGAATCAATGTCAGATTTCGTGGGGATTATGGCCTACTTTGTCTTTTGAAGCAGTTCAGGAGGTAGATATTTCCAATTGTCCAATGCTACATCTTGAAGCTGCCATTGAGTGCTTCTGTAAATCATTTCCATCATTGAGAATATTGAAGGCAACTTATTTTTTGAGCTTCAAGACAGCAAAATTGCGTCAATTGATGCAGAGATGCCCATTGCTCTACGACATCGACTTAACAGTGGATATCAGTCCTATTATACCAACTCAAGTGTCAATTGTATCTTCTTTTCCATCTACAACACCGAATGTATCAATAGTTTCTTCTGGTATCATTGGTTATCCTTCAGATGCCACATTGTCCTATATGTCCAGACCATTGCTGTCAAATGTTACAAAACTTACATTAGAGGGCCGAATTGATGTTGGTGGTAAGATATGTACTCTCTCTCTCTCAGTTACCACTTTAGTTACTAGTCTTTGTTTGAAGACTTCGAGGTATATTTAGTAAGATTCTTGGCATAAAGCAGTTTGTTGCTTGGCAGATCCAGTTATTAGGACTTTGGATTGTTCTAGGGGTTAAAACACGCCTTTTTGTGTATTTTGCCAAGGTGAACAGCAAGTATATTCTAGTTCAGTTTATTACTTCTGACCTGGAATCAGAATTTGTTGATATATCATATTAGTTCAGATGTTAGGGTGGGAGGTCATTTGACTGTTCCCATGCGTTTGTTGCACATGCATAACTGTGCTCTTATTTGCTCATGTCAAGATTTGCCCGGGTGGAAACTCGACATCCATGACAACTTTTTTTTTTTTTTTTTTTTTAAATTTATTATTTTTCCAGTTTGTTTTGAAGCACCAAATTTTTTTATTTTTTTTGGGTTTAATATTGGTGTCTGGTGGTTTGCTTTATTGGCCACCCTATTAATCTATTCTTTCAATGTTCTTCTAGATGCTGATCTAAAAAATATCTCAGAATCCTGTGTATCCTTATGTTACCTCAATCTTAAAGGGTGCACTTCGGTGACTGATGCTGGCATATCAGTTCTTATACTCAGATGTTTGGAGCTACATTCAATTGTGGTTTCTGATACTTCTTTTGGACAGAACTCAATTCTGGCTCTTTGCTCCACTATTACTAATTCTGCTGCACAAATTGAAAAGAAACGTTCCCAAACATTGGCTTATAAACTTCAAACACTGCATATGGGGGGCTGCAATGGTTAGTTACATCTTCCTTCATTTGTATTTGACTTTTTATACTTTGTTCTTAGTATTTAAAAGCATGTACAGTTAAAATTAGCAAGTTTTGTCAATTATTTTAAGCTTTGTGTGTTTATGAATGCATCTGTATGTTGGGTGTTCTTTTGTCATGTGACCCGGCGTCTTATGTGTGACCCCTGTGGCCCTGTCTCCTATTTGTTTAGGATGGACATAGTACTTCATATCTTCCAATACATAGCCCTTTATTTTCTTCATAAAGTTAGGTTTTCATGACACTTGACCTTTAATCTCTAATGAATTTTTGGCCAAATAGCATATGAATGGAATCATTTGCAGAGTTATTCTGGAAATTCATGCTTTCTGTACATGAGTGTTGAGAAATTGTTGAAGCAGAAGTAAGAATTTATCTGCATGCAGCACACAGTATTCATGATTATGATTCTAATTAAACAGTCCCAGGTTTTGCAAATCCTACGGTAATTGGTTCCATCACGTCTTTTTTCTTCCATCCTCAATCTTCGCTTTATGTTTCCTATTGTCCTTGTTTTCAAGATAACACATTCAGATATGGTTTTGTCCTCTTAAGAGCACAACACGAAATTATACTCAAGACTGTTTATATAGATGATAAATCAGTTTTTTCGGCAGGCGCCAATGGAACATCTCTTATAAAGCTGATGTCTCAAATGTGCATGCTGAAGAGTCTGTGTCTCAGGGAGACTGAACTTGTTGATAATGCCCTTTATAGTTTCTGTGGTTCTTCCTTAGAGATGCTTGATGTTTCTGATACAAAGGTATGTAACATCTTTCCTGAAGAGGCTTTGTAGGTATCATTTATGTTTTTCTTGTCGGTTACATTGACTGATAGCATCGTAAATATTCCGCGGACAAGCTAGTTAAAATAGAAGTTGTACATATTGTTTGGATGTGTAATTAACTATAACCCACCTCATGATAGGGACTTAAATCTAGTCATATTATCATATAGTGGATTGCCCTTGAGCTACTAAGATGAAACCCATCTAAAAGGCATGCTTGTTTGGGTGGTAAAAAATAAGTAGACCTTCAAGCCAAGAATCTCTGATAGATGGTCATATTCATTTGTTGGATTAAGTGTTTTATAATTTTATTTATTTATTTTTTGTGATAGATAAGTATATTCACATACACAAGTCCCAACTGGGGCCTGAAAAGTGAAAACTCAACCTCCCCAAAGGGGGTGGTGGACATACCACCAAAGTCAAAGCTTTGGTGGTGATTTGTTGGATTAAGTTACCTTTCCAATAATCTTTATTAGTGGTGTTCCTCATCCATCTTGTCAGTAGGAACCTGCCTTCCGGAGATAAAAGTTGGGAGCGCTAAATATTTTTCCTTTTCCTAATTGTGATGATTTTTATAAAGAGAGAATTTATTTTTCTGCCTCTTCTAGCCACTTTGACAACGCCACAAACAGCATTTGACTTGGTGATGTCTAAAAACTCAGTTGGGTTGAATGACTGTTATTGGCAGAGACAGGGTAGCAGTATCTGACACGAGCAAACAAAAGGTAAAACTAGAAGGGGGAAAAAAATAAAATTAAAAGGTTGGGGTGTCCTTGTTACGTAACTTCTTCTAGCTTATCTCATGGCACCATGTGGATAGTGCAGGTGCATCTAACTCAAGAATATTGTGTTTATGAAATTGCAGGTTTCTGGCGCTGCTTTAGCTCACATCGTTCACAGAAATCCTGGTTTGAAAATTTGGAAAGCAAGTGGATGTCAAAATCTGTTTCAACAGGGAAGTAAGAATGAAGGGGAAGACTTTCCTTCTTCCCCATATTCATGCATGGAATTGTCTTTTGAGCTAGGTAAGACCTGCAAACTGGAAGAAATTGTGCTTGGATGGGGATTTTCATGCTTATCCATGGAAGCTCTAAGACCTGCAATCACAACGCTGAGGGCGATAACTGTGGGTTTAGGTGCATCATTAGGCCAAGATGCGCTGGAACTGCTGCCTAAAACTTGTCCTTTACTTGAGTCGGTGATACTTTATTTTCAGGTAAATCTACCAATTAGACATAAGATATACTCCTGAGCTACATCCATCCACCCCCCCCCCCCCCCCTCCCCCCCCCACCACACACACACACACACACACACACAAACACAAACCCAAACAAAAAAAAAAGAGAACCAAAATAAATAAATAAATACATAATGAACTGTGCAGTACTTGCGTACAACTTCTTTGTTATTTATTTATTTTAACATCCTTGTTCATTATTCATCTCTCTGAGGGGAACATACAAAATAAGAACAACCAAGGAAAAAAATGATGCATGATTTCACTATATGGTTAGAACAACATGAGATTGCAATATATTTCCCTGAGACTGGTTGATCGCAAACCCTGTCCTTGAAATTTTGTTTTTTAAACTCATCAAAATAAGATGACTATATTCATCTAATAAAATCTCCATGAACTAACTACTTGCTGTTTGCTTCAGGTGGTAACTCCCCTGCTTTCGCTAAGGGAAGGTGAAATCTTTTAGTCCTAGTAAAAGGTCCTTTTTATTAGTTACTTTTTTGGGGGAGGTATGACCCAGTTGTGAAGCCCAAACCGTAGGGAACACCAGAAAAAGAAAAAGAAAAATATAAAGGAAAAGAAAAGAAAATAAAATCACCAAGGCTAGATATATCTTCTTGGTTTAACAGATGGAGTGAGGTCTGCATCCTTCCCTCTTATACAGTATTTGATGGTGTCATAACTTGGTGGTCCTTTTGGGTAAATGGGCAGTATTGTAAATTTATGGTGGATTTTGTTGATAGTCTGAAATTATAGTTGGCTTTTTGTGTATTCTCTTGGGAGCTCTCCCCTCTTGAGCGCCTTTAATGAAATCAATCTTATCAAAAAATAATAATAATAATAACTGAATACAATTTTGATTGTGCCATAGCTTGGTGGTCCTTGGGTTAATCAAATAGTTTTTTTCCTGATAATTCTTTCGTACTTAAACCTGACTATTTGTTAGGCATTGTCATTCAGTTGTGTATGTCTACTTTTCTTAGCAGGTAATATCTGATTGTATCGTAATAAACATTATGGAAAACTTGAGGTACTTGCAAGTGTTGGCTCTCTGCTACTGTCTTGGTGAGATGTCCTCATTAAGCTTCAAGTGCAATATGCCAAATTTGAGGAAATTGAGACTTCAAAGGGTAACACCTTGGATGACTAATGATGATTTGTCTATTTTGACTCAAAACTGTGGAAAGTTGATTGAGCTTTCATTGCTAGGATGCAGACTTCTCAATTCAGGTGGGTAATAACTAAGCCAGTCTCTTTTACATTAGAATGAATCCATTGCATATTTATAAATGTGCCTTTATCTTTGTTACTTATATTTTTAATATTGTTTGAAAGTTCATATGAAGTTAATGCAATGCCAATCTTTGCCTTTGTTTTCTTCCTACTGCTGCATAGTTGAGGAATTATTTGCTTTATGTTTTTCTGATGTGCACCTCTACATTGCCCGTATAACTAATATGATCTATTTTCCTCTTATCATTTTATCTTCTTTGTAGATTCGCAGCAGATCATTTCAAATGGTTGGCCAGGCTTGATTTCCATCCATCTAGAGGTTTGCCAGCATCACTTTCTCTTGGGTTCCTGTTTGATATGGTTTCATCTATTTGCCTCGGTAGCAAATGTAAAAGCATGATGAAAAGGCTTTAAAATTTTATTTTATTTTTCATTCTGAAATTGGGCTGGCTTTACACATTCAATTCTTTTAGGCATTTTACTTTGGGATGCTGCTGTTTTTCCTAAGTATAAATTGTACTGTCAATTATTAAGTGCCATAAAATATGGACACTGCCACTTGTCAATAATGTGGGATGATGATAAAATTGTGAAAAATCTTGTTATAAACGCACTAGTGTCCAGCAGTTGGAAGCAGTGTGTCTAAGAAGCAAAATTTCAATGGTGTCAAGTTCACAGTAAAACAGAGACTGCAGGAAATTCTTATTAGACTTCTGTCTTGGTTTGACATTATCCATTTTTTATACGCCATATATAAATATATATATTTCGTCTGATTGCTGCTGGCAGCCAAACCCTATTGGCTACAGGAGTCCCTAATGCTTCTTAAACACTAGGGGTTCCCTTCTCTAGAAATAGGACCAAATAGGCCTAGTGAAGGACCTAAGATTCTATTGTTGGGGCCATGCAGAGGTTGGGAAACCCTGCGGAAACATGCAGATAAAAAATGACCCCCTGTAGGGGCCATTTTTTATATCACGCCTTTCCAATTAGGGAAGTGAAAAAGAACCTCTCTGACTACTGTAGAAGCTTTAACATGCAGATAAGGATTTTCAGTCAAAAGAGAAGGCCCCTAAATAGATATGCAACCAATGTCATAATGAAAACATTTCTTTTAAGGTACACTTTACTTTTTTGGTTGTAGATCCGTTGTTTTTCAGTTTGAGAAGGGAGTGATCTCTCCCCTTTATTGCGAGCCAAAAACTTCTTCACTACCTCTCTGTAAAAGGGAGATGGCCCCGTATCCACAGGAGATGGGACTAGGACTCTTCCAGGACTTCCTCCCGTGAATGCCATGAGTAGAACTCTTACTCTCTTACAAGAGAAGAATTATGCATGGTGAAGTGAGGGCCAATATCTATCTGTTAGGCCATTTCATTCTCCTCTTTACGATTCTTGTACCCTTGGCCGAGAAGATAATTTACAAACACATACTCCCTCTATCCCAAAATAGTTGTCCATCTTGAGAACTGTGACTCATGGACAACTATTTTGGGACGGAGAGAGTAATAGATATATATGTTTAAATTTATGCATGCATTCAAATTACATATACACACTATATAATGGCTTACGAGCCAATGTAAGTATTGCCAAGGCTATAATGCGCACCAGCTTAGGTGTCGCACACCTGTAAAACACTATGCATCAGTCTGTTTACTCATTTCTTCTTGCATGTTAAATTTTGAATGTTAGCTTGAGTGGTATCTCTTGCCACTCCCGATAGGAGAAGGTATGGGGTTGAAGTCCCCATTAAAACACAGGTGTGTCTTGCTTAATACTATTATTTTAAAAAATAATAATAATAATAAATTCTTGATTTTGATTTCCCCTTTCTTTTCTCACACATGAACCATTCACCTCTTGTAGGATTGTTTGGTAGTTAGAACACCTTTACTCTGACCTTTTTTAGCTTGCCCTTAGTTGTGAAGGATTTCTGGAATTAATTCTACATAAAAACATAATTTACAAATCAGGAATTGTTTCTCATAATATTCTATATAAATTTGTTTCTTTTTGAGTTCTCATGTGTCTTGGCATTTGCTCATTATGTAGGAATGTGGCGAACTAACTACAAACGGTGTCATGTCTCTTTTTGACTGTAAAGCCCTTGAAGATCTCTTGTTGCGTCATAATGTGAGTATCTGTAACCGCCTGTTTTATTGCTTCTTGCTTCTTTACTTGATTGAATAATGGAGAACTGTTCTAGTAGAAATGCTATAGGCTTTCCATTTGACTGACGTCTTAGTTACCTATCAATTGTCTATGACTTGCTTTGTGCTTCCTAGCCTGTGACATACACCTTTGATACCTAAGGACACTTGTATGACGTATGGTTCTATAGTTTAACCTCATTACATACCCAGGGTTTCCCTACTAGAATTTTTTTAATTTGGTTGTATTTGTGTCCTGATTCTCCTGACCTTGTTTTGCTATTTATTTCTGAAGTTGGTCCCAATACTTCAGATACAATTGAACTGTAGATGGAAACAGCTGATAGTACTGTGTACTGGAGACTCTGGTAGAGAGTCGACCAAGGTCCACTAATCATCCAAACGTCAATCTGGTTGTGGGTTGAACTGTTGTTTGGAACTGATCTCTTGAGTATGCAGCAACTGATGTCAACGCATATTTATACTCTCCAAAAACTCACAAATATCTGCACTAGGTGGGGTAGTATCTGTGTGTATGCCGTGTATCTAGGTCTGCCCTAATGTATATATATAGGCAACCATATAGTGGCAAGAGAACATAATTTTTGCAGTCTTTAAAAGCAAGTTTGAAACTGCCTTCCCGAATAACCCGATTGATCGAATTAGATGTCGATCCATTGACATCCCTCCGGAAGGCTTCGATCGATGACTCAATCAATCGACTACTTCTGCAGGTTTATATCTAGACTAAATTCCCAAGATGGTAGTTTCCAAAACATGATTTATGTAAATTTAAATCAATTTAGGGAATCAAAATAAGCTTGAAACTTGGAAATTTAGAAATTCTAGATATGCAATGCATTACCCTAATTTGGTGAGTGTATCAACATGTCAATTTATCTTTTTACCCTCATTGATGAAGTTTACCAAAATTCCCTTAAACCTTGGGAGGTGTGACTAACTCTAACTTGTGATCAATTTCTAAACTAAGTTAGAAATTAAAACAAAAGTACAAACTCAAGTTTTGATAACATAAGTCCTATTGACCTAATAACAACATACTTCTTTTCTCTCCTTTCTGGTATCATAATTACATGAATTAGCTCTAAATTTCTTGCACACGAATTTTGAAAAAAGTTGAGATGTAATAACAAGCAGGGTCCCCCCCCCCCCCCCCACCCACCCACCCACCCACCCACCAAAGAAATAATTATTTTCCCCAAATTTCCATAAAAATAATGGTTTTGATATCCCATTCAGTGTCTCAAAGTTGAGTGGGCACCTCTTGGATAAGCCACAACATTGATTTGATCCACTAGTATTACATATTATATTATATATTACAAAAATGCGATAAACCCCCTTGAACTTTCTCACTTTTGCCCTGATGAAATAACAAAAGACCTCTAAGAAGACATTCCATGGTGCATGATGTTTGCCGATGATATTGTGTTAATAGATACTTCTAAAGAAAATTTAGCAATAAAATTAGACATGTGGAGAAATGCTTTAGAATCAAAAGGATTGTGACACAAACAGAGTATATGGAGTGTAAATTTAATAAGTACTCGATTCTTGATAATATAATTATGACGCTTGAAAATAAAAAAATTACTAGAAATAACCAATTTCACTACTTAGGGTCGAATACAAAGGGATGGAGACACACATAGTGATATAATTATTAGGATTGGATCCAGATGGACAAAATGGAGACAAGCTAGTGGCATCCTATGTGATAAAAGAATAAGACGTAAATTAAAAGGAAAATTTTACTGTTATTGTACCAACTATGCTATATGGAGCATGGTGTTGGGCTTTAAAAAAGAAACAAGAACAACACATTATGTTGCTGAAATGAGAATGCTAAGGTTGATGTGGGAGTGACTAGAGAGATAGCCACAAATGAAAGTGTAAGAGAAAAATTAGGAGTGACACGTGTCAATGAGAAAGTAAGAGAGTAGATTTAGGTGGTTTGGACACATACAACAAAAACCTATAAATGCGCCGGTAAGAAGAGGTAAATTAGTATTTATAGAAGGCAAGAGGAGTAGAGGGCAACCTAAAATAACATCCAACCAGCCTTCCGCCTTTTGAATCATTGCCCAACTGGATCCCATGACGAAGCTCTCCTCGCCTGGACTCCCATCGATAGGCCCACAGGAAAGGTCCCCACCCTGCAACCCAAAATGTTGGCCAGAAAATCAATCTCCTCCACCGCCCTCACAGGCACATTCTTGCTATTTTCAAGATTAATCTTCAGCCTCGAGATTGCCTGAGGTACTTCAATTGACTCACCTTGGCATCACAAAACACAATAGTGTCATCTGCAAAAAGCAAATGAGGGATCTCCATCTGGCTAGAGAGATCCCTCCCCACCCTGAAACCTCTGAAATAGCCCAACTCGGCCACTCGTCTCATCAGCCAACTGAAAGCCTTCATCAAATTGATGAAAAGGAAGGGAGAAATTTTAGTGATTTTAAATAATTTATTTTTTGAATTTATAAACATGATATCAGAGTGATGAATTTGTTGCATTCTAGAAGCGGTAGCTTCCCGCCTCCTTCATTCCTATTGCCTCCTTCGGTGATAAGTTCCCTTCCCTTTTCTAAAATGCCTGATTGGTCTGCTCACAGAGTGGACCTGCTCGCTGTTTGGCTGACCCTCTTCTTCCAGTCAGGTTGGGTTGACCAAGAAGTATAGTAAGAAGGAATGGAGAAGGAAGTTATTAGAACGTTAAACATATTCGGTGAAATGGTGACTAATAGAAAAAGAATGGAGAAAGAAATTCATGTGGCCGACCATTCCTACGAGAATAAGGCAAGGATGATGATGATGACCCATACACTTTTGTAGAATTCCACAAATTACCCTTGCCATTAATTTTCTGATAAAAAATGGATGATTTTTTTTTTTGCATCTCACATGCACAATGATGTTATATTTTGACCAATATGTCCTTTTATGTGAACTAAATCAAGTCTGGACTTACGTCCTCGGGTTTGACTTAATTTTGGACAATCTTTTTATTTCAAAATCATATTTTTTAACTCTTTTTTTTATCCTTCTTTTTTCTTTTTACATGTCCTTTTCGTAAGGTAGGTAGGTATTCCCATGTCAACAATTAAAATTTGGAAAGCGGGTATTTGCAAATCTGTTATAGTTGAACAGATTTTTTGAAGTTCAGGGTGGTTATTTGCAAATGCGGGATTCAAGGGGTTTATATTTTTGCATTTTGACGTATATATTATAGGATTAAATGCCAAAAAAACCCTAAACTATTGCCCTTACGCAACTAACCCCCTGAACTAATGAAATTCTTCACTTAAGGACATACCCGTCCCTTGCTGTTAACAGAAATGTTAAAAGACTATTTTATCCATAATCAAAACTATGTCGTTTTTATTATAATACAGCCGAAGTTAGAACCCTAGTTGCAAATCGATTACTGAACAATCAAGCAGAGAACCAATATATTAGATGCCAAGGAATCCAATTCTATTTTGCTTATTGCGAGAATCTTTGGGAATCATAGATGATAGATACATATAAAATAGTATGTATATATATAGAAAGAATATATATACTGTACTTATTCAAAGGCATACCGCTGATGGGGATTCGTTCGTTAGGGTTGTGTTTGGGTATAACGTTCATAAGAAGGGCACTCTGGTCATTTAACTTTTGTAAGGGCATTCTGGTCATTTAATGAAAAATAACCCATCAGCACATGATAGGCATGAAGAACCTAATCATTAACATCTAAGCAGCACATTGATGAAATGGGGCATTTTGCAACAAAAGTTGGTAGTTCAGGGGGTATTGTGTCAAAAATGTAGTTCAAAAGGTTATTTGCTGATTTGGGCATTGTTCAGTTTTTCTTTTCTTTTTTTCATTTAACCCTATCTTATATAGAGGCTATTCTATATTATTGGATGGCTCATATTCTGACTGCCGGGCATAAAGAAAAAGAAAATACACAGCCAAAAAAAAAAATTGGAATCCATAAAAATTTGTATCTCATCTTGCTGCGTTGCCTGCTGCACTCAAATTTTAACATTGAATATACAGGGCCCTGGAATCCAAAAAAATTTCATTGTTGCTGCTGCTTCAAAGGTATCTTATGGATTTCATCACTACACTATTCTCCTTTTAGAGGAAGGCAAATCTATCAAAACCTATATCTCTAAATTCCTTTGTGATGACTGCAGTTGCCAATGCTTCGGAAAGTATCACTTGACTTGTGTGATGCGAGTGATGGTGACTTTGACATTCCAGATGTAAGTTAGAAGACATTTTTTTTTTTTTTTTTTTCCCCTTCTATTAATTAGTTTTCAATAATTTTAGATCCTTTGGACAGGAAAATAATAATAATAAAATTGGATCATGTTTAGATGTAAATAAGAAATTGAAGTTTTCTCATATTCCTGGCATTAGAGTAGAAACGTAAAAATATAAACTTGAGGACCAACTGTGGTTCTGTGTGTATTCAAGGTCTCTCCCTTGGGTTAACCCCAGTGACTTACCTTCTTTTTATTTCCGAACAGCCATGGGATGGAATAACCTGAATCTTATGGATGTGCTTTAGTTTGCTGACAGGTACTTCATGAGTACTGTGAAAATAGCAAGATGTAAGCTACAAAGATGCACGTTGGACCTCCAAAAGTTGAAGGCTCGAAAAACACCGGTGCATAAGGAGACCTTAGTACTGGTATGGGACAGCAAAAACCTCACTAGAACAGTGGTGAAGGAAAGATTGTAGCATTTAAAAGTAAGATTGGAGTCTTCATTAGGTAAATTTCAATTATGTTATGTTCATTCGTTGTTTTAACTAGTGGCCGATTCTGCTTGTTAACTTAAAAACTTAAATGGCCCGAGATATGGATGTATCAAAACATCAATGTTGGACTATATTATCTATCGACCTTGAGCCTGTTTGAGGTCATGCATTGCCAATTCAGGTCGTCCAATTTTTTGGGAAGTTTTTTATTTATGGTGAAAAGAATGGTTGCTTTGATATTGAAGGCACTTTAGTCGTTAGGCATATTATTTGGGAAAAATTACCTATGCCTTCAAATGATAAAAAAAAAAAAAATACTTTTTTGACTTTTAATAAGACAGTTAATTCTTACATTAGTGTTTTCATGTTCAAAAAGGTCAGATCCTTCCAATCTAAATATAATAATGAATTGACCAAGAAGTCCATCTTTCTCATTCACAAATATGAGCTCCCTCACTGTTTTGAGGCCAACTCTTGTCTTTTTATCCCAGTGAGCCCACGCGACCTACTAATAAGTGGAAATACTCCGTACTTGTTTGTGATGAGCAGATTTTCCTTTTGTTCATTTTTTTTTTTTTTTTTTTCATCATCTTGTGACTGATTTTTGAAAACCGTTTTGTTTCTTATAAATTTTGCATTTTTCTTAAATTTCAAATTAATCTAAATTATCGTGACAGAAATACCCTTACAGTGCTGGGCTGTTTGTGTCAGACCCAGACTGTGGGCCCCACATCTGAGCTGGTTGACTAAATTGTTGCTAACGATTACTAGGCCAAGCCTTTTTATGCAAAGGCCCAAATAGTTTTTTTCTTCGAGAATAAATGAAGGACCACGCAAACGAATACATATAATACTCTAGTTTGGTAATTGTCTCATTTAAACAAACTAAGCAAATAAACGATTTCACACCGTATAAAATCTCCTTATAAGTAAAAGTCTATATTACTCCTCCGAACTAAAATTTTAGCAAACAAATACTACAAAATAAAAAATTTCAAGAGACTCCATTTCATCAAGTTATGGTTAAGAAATTAACAATGGAAGCTTTCAAAATCACAAACTTCCCTTAAAGTTAATTGCAAAAATCCAGGGATAATTTGCAATTTTTTATCTTTTAATTTTTTTTCTTCTTCCGATAGGTTTTGTACAATTGATTTTAAGGACAATCCAATAATTTAAAGATATTTTTCAAGGTCACATAACAAAAATTAAGTTGTCGAAATGCAAGTTTTCAATAGTACATAACATTTAACTCTATTAAAGGGGTAAATTTAAATTTATATAATTGAGGAGGTTTTGTGTAATTAATCCCATATATATATATATATATATATAAAGATATATATATATATAAAGCAAAATGTTATGAATGGATTGATTATACAAAAGACATGTAGCCCATAATATAACCCCCACAATGAGGGGAGGAGGTTATTATAGGATGTTGAGATAATTTTTCTTTTCCCCTTGTTGATCATGAGATAATTTTATTTTATTTATTTATTTATTTTTCCTTAAATAAATTTCTCTCATATATGTTTGGCAGCACACGCTTTGGATTTAAGGATTAGAGAAATTTTAGTATAAAGTTTGAATAAAATCTCTACAGTTTGATCTTGCTGCATTCAAGATAGGGTTCAGTTCTTCGTTATTATTTCGACAAATAAAGTCATCATTTCAAATTTTTGGGATAAAATCAGGTGAAGTGATTTTTAGTTTCAAACATGTGAACTCCGGTCACAGATCAATGAGTTCAATCACTTGCTAGTTACCACGAATACAAATGTTATCTAGATTCATGGCACTAGTTCAATGTTGCCAAACAATGTCTATTAAAGAACTCACCTTATAATTACTACTTAAATATATACATACAATAAAATAATTTTAATTATCAAAATATTTTTGGATTCAAACTACTCTCATCTTCTTTGGTGAAAAAAATAATAAAAAAATAATAATCTCATCTTACCAATTGAGAGGAAATCGTTTGAATTAGGCGATTAAATGTTTGCCAAATTGATTTATGCATTTAAATTTCAATAAATAAAACTGAATAGTTAGATTATAATATAGTTGGATTTAGAAAGAAAAAATAAAAATCAATCCACAAAAATTGCATAGTGTGATAGAATTAAAAGGACTCATAATTTGCCTAGCATTATTCGTGCATAGATCAAACTATCTTATGCAATTACAACAACACTGATATATTATTTTTCTTTTCTTTTCTTTTTTGAAAAGTTTAAATAATATTATGCCTAACAATATTTGAATGCTCAATCTTTCCTTAAAGGGGAGCTTCTGGTACTTTACATAATGGAGCGTTTTGTTAGCCACTGATTAACTCTTGAGGAGGTGAATAGAGTCTATGCCTAATATTTACAATTTATAAATTTTTATTTCCAACTAACTATCATGCAATAAAGATATTCAAGCAATATATACAAGTGACAAGTATATAAAAGAGATATAGATAAGAAATTGCAAACAATAACTCGGCGATTTAGCGAGGTTCGGAAACTTCTATTCCTCGTCTCAAGGTTCCCCTTGAGACTTATCAAATTCACTAGAGCTTCTCTTTAATGGTGGAGAGCAAACCTTCAATTTGAAGCAATACCTTGCTTCTCTTCCTTGCTAAGAAGACATCCTTTTCCTAGGCTTTCTTTTGGGTCACACCAACCCTTTACAATAACTTGTAATTGAAATGAAGTGTACAATAAATCTCTCAAAGACAGTAGTACAAAGTTTTGCTCACAACTATAGTAAAGATGAATATATATCTGAAACTCAGAATCACTGCAGTGAAATGAAATGTTAGAGAGAAAATGAAAGCTCAATGAATGCTTCTTTAATGATCTTCAAGAATTGTAGAATGCTATCTTAAATGGTATATTTTTTTCTGCAGACCAACCATCTATATATAGAGAAATGTTACGCTCAATATAACTGTTAAAGGTGGTTGGGGATCAATAAATGAAAAAATTTCCGTTGCAGTTCAAAACCCCAAAAGGAGCCGGCTCTTGTAAACAAGAGGAGGCGGCTCCCTAACCTTAAGAGTCGGCTCTCCATTGCATGGAGCCGGCTCCTAGCCTCTGAGAGCCTGCTCCCTATTTTGGGAGCCTGCTCTTTGGTTGGAAGATTGAATTTTTCGTTGAAAAAAGCTTACTGGAATGTTGAGAGCATGTTCTGTCTTTTATGGAACCTGCTCCATTACTGTACAAGACTTAAAATAAATTTATTTAAGTCCTATCTACGCTTCATATGATGTGTGGCTCATGTGTGAATGTGTTCATAAACTTTATGAGTTAATTTTATATTCTTTGAAAAATGAAATGAGAATGGCTATGCATGAATTATAATTTTGAGCTTCAAAAATATATTCAAATGAACTTTGACATTAAACCTTAAGTTCTCACCATTCTATTTACCTTTTTCTTCATTCTTTGACCATGATCATTTAGGCTTAATGAAGACTTGTTTTTTTTCTTTGAAATACTTGAATGATTTTTGAAGTCTGAGTTTTTCTTTAATTTCTTGCAACTTTGAGGTTTCCTTGAATCCATTGCTCGAGTGCTTGGAATGCTTGGAATGGATCTTCTAGCTCATCATTGAGGATTGAATATTGATCAAGTATACGTCACTCAATGAAAATATTAATACTTAAACATCATTGGTTTTGTAATCATCAAAGCATAAGATAAAATCCTTCGGCCAATAATTCAATAATTTACTACACTTTAATACAATAATATTTAAAAAGGTAGTAATGATACTTGCACTGAATTATTGTACCGAATATTTTTGATTGGTTATTTATGCATAATACATGTAAGTGAAAGGTCCCACTTCTTTATTTATACGATTTGTTATAATGAATTGTGGGATCTTCCATTTATATGTACTATGCATAAATAACCAATCAGAAACATTCGGTGTAACAAATCAGTGCAAGTATTTACTCAAATAATAATGGAGGTACAATATTTAAAGATAAAATAATTTAAAAGGTACAAATTACAATAATGATAATGGGTATAATAATTTTAAGATAGTGTAGGGTGACTCCGTACTTTTACTCTTTATAACTATTGTTTTATCGTATTTAATTTTTTTTTCATCTTTTGAATATTAAGGTTGCATTAAAATTAAAATAGGTGTGTTTGAATTTCCTCTCCTAATTAAGTGTTTGAATCCCTTTCCTAGTAAAAGAAAGAAAAATATATGCTAAGGTCACGTTTATACATATTGCCCGAATTGTAAGTACTAAAAAACCTGGATCAGGGTCACCTTCACGGATCGGATCAGGATTCAAAAACCATTTTTCTCCCTTTTTACCAAGCCTTGTTATTCTGGAGAGTGCTTTCACTCTCGTCGCTGGTATTGGGAATCCTCTCTTCTGCGAGACTGCATCCTTCTCCGCTAGTGCCGTCGTCGAAGCCATCATCGACCTTGGTATGAAAATTTCCGAATCTTTAATTACAGAGTACTATTAGTTTATACTTACTTACAAATATATATACACATACAAGATTACATGGTTAGGGTTTCTTACAAGCTCATTGGGTATAGGGCCTTTGGATGTCTCATATAGTAGTATTTGGCTTAAGAATGATAATGAAATTATAGGGTTCTCATGGACAATAGCATTAGGGTTTTGCTGTTTGTTGTTTTTGCTAACTTTATTTCACAAGTGGTAATCGCCCAGTTCTCATAATTAATCCCCCTATGATTTTATTTGGGCTTTCTTGATAATTCGTCACTTTCTGACGAGAGACCTGGTTAATTCTTGCTCTTTATGCAATTTAATCTTTTAGGCATGCTTGGAGCCCCAAACTACCCTATTGTTGGTTATTTTCAACAGTATTTAAGAAGTTTGATTGGAATCATTGTCCCTACTGAAGTATGTTTTTGTTTATGTGTTGAATAGAAGTTGACATTCTTGTTTAGATTGTTTTTTTGTCCAATCAAATAACTCACACATGCACTTTACCCATATGGAGCTTGTTGAAAAACTCACGGATTAGCCAGGGTGAATCTCTGTTAAGACCGTTTAGCCTGTGTCCAGTTCAAAAACATAATTTTTGTGTGTAAAAATGTTGAAAAAAAATAAAAATAAAAATAAAACTGATTTGGTGCCCTTTTTATTGAGTGGGTAATAGCAATGACATGGTATGCCTGACACATAATGCACCCAATATCATTTAAACAACATTTCACTTCTGGCATACAATTCTTGTTGGTCATTCTCGGTTAGATTTACTAGACCTATATCGAGCACACTTTTTTTTTTTTTTTTCTTTTATCTTAGATTTATTTCAAAGGTAGATAGCATTGGGTAATCAGTAGGGTGATAATCATTCAATTATTGCCAAATTTCTCATCCATCATATTGTTTCATCTTGATATCTGTTAGAATAATGCCGAAGGTGAAGACAAACCGAGTTAAATATCCGGAGGGTTGGACACTAATTGAGCCTACTCTCCAAGAACTACAGGCAAAGATGAGAGAAGGTTCGATCTCTTCTATATCATAGTCTTGCACATTCCTGACATGCTATCTTCTTCTCTTTTTTTCCTGAACTTTATGGAACTAATAATGCTATCTTAATTCTTACTTTCTTGGACAGCTGAGAATGATCCGCATGATGGTAAAAGAAAATGTGAGGCGTTGTGGCCTATTTTCAAAATAGCACATCAGAAAAGTCGATACATTTTCGACCTTTACTACAAGAGGAAGGAAATATCCAAGGAATTGTACGAGTTTTGCTTAGAGCAGGGCTATGCTGACCGTAATCTAATTGCAAAGTGGAAGAAGGTTTGTGTTGTGATCTCCTTCAGAATCGTCTTTGTCTTACAATTCTCTAAGTCATTTTCCTCTTCATTTTACTATATAATAATGACATGTTTGGTGCTTGGGACATGTTCTGACTCACTTTAGTTCATATTTCAGAGCTCTGTAATAAATATGGGAAAAGGTCAAGTGTCTGAAAGTTTTCAATAGGTATAGGAATGGAGAAAAGAAGTGTATGTTAGAAAGAAGGTTATAGGATTATTGACAAATTTATGGATTTAAAAAATTACAGCATTCTAGATTTTCATATAGTTTGTCAACCATATTGAATGTGTTATGATTATTTTTTTTCTTTTCTTCGGTGAGTGTTTTATGAAATTCTGTTACATATGTTTAAGTGTGTAATGCAGGACTTATCACAGATTAGGAAATTGTTGAATGACTTCTCTCTATCCCTGTGTGTATGTGCACGTTGTCATGTGAAACAAATTTTGAAATTCCTTCTCATGCTTTGTGTTTGCATTGCAGCCTGGTTACGAACGTCTCTGCTGTTTAAAATGCATTCAACCGCGGGATCACAACTTCCAGACCACATGCGTGTGTCGAGTCCCCAAGCACCTGAGGGAGGAGAAGGTTATAGAGTGTGTGCATTGTGGTTGCAGGGGTTGCGCAAGTGGAGATTGATCAGTTGTCTTATACCCGCCGGGGCTCATGTATTCTCAGACACCATGTACTATATTTCTCTAATGCTGTGTAAAACTATAATAGAGGTTCTAATCCTCTTCCCCAGAGCTGGGAGTTTGTGACTGTTATTGTGATGTTTCTGTTCATCTGGGATAATTGGTTAACATTATTATTCACTGGAGAAACCCATGTTTAACCTTCATCATAATATTGAATTTGTATTATTTTTTTAATTAATAGTATGAAAGAGAACCTTTTATATATATTCTTACTAGTTATTGCTACTACAGTACATTTTATAAGTTGCATACTTGGCATTTTCAACAAATTGCTTATTAAATCTAAACAACCAGCACGTGCATGAGGCTTAGTTTGTTTGTATATATTGTATTTTATAGTCTGGTACATGTTTCTTTCAAGTTTGGTTACACTTAAACATATATTATGGTGAGCTGTGATACATTCAACTAAAATTCAATAAATTGCATACACGCAGCAATTAAAACTGAACAGCCATTGCATGATAGCTTAATTTGTATCTATTGGATTCTATATATATTTTTTCCAAATTTGGTTATACCCCAACGGGTAATACATTCGTCTACATTTATTATTTTTTAGGAAGGAATATCTCAATTAATAAAATTCTCTTGGACTAGTTATTATTTTCTTCCTATCTTTAAACTCTATTTGTACACAAATTAAATTACGTAATTAATTGGTAGTGCATTCACACACTCATGTTAAGTGTGTACTATGTATTTGTTTATATATATATATATATATATATATATATTTCTCTTGAGGTTAGGCGTAATTACAGACGGTACTCCTTACGTTTTAAAAATTACAATGGGTAATGGATTTACCATAAACGGGTTCGTGTCGAATTTCTCGGCCGGACCATTCTGGCCAATCTAAAACTCTACACAAATAATGACTTTAAATTGGATGTTCATTCTGGCCAATCTAAAACTCTACACAAATAATGACTTTAAATGGGATGCATTTTACATTCATGTATTTGGTATTGTTAGAATGTGTTACTTTAAATTTGATGTCTCAAGGTTTGTTCCGTAGTCAATGATATTTTTTTTTTTATGATGTCAGCTATTTTTAACCCGTAATACCACATTTGCCCTTACTTAAAATCTGCTTTATTGATTTTTCACTCTTGGTTTCAATTTCTCTTCAATTCACCTTTTGCTTTGTCGATTTGTGCAGCTGCAGAAAGTTGAGAAACAGCGGCTAAAGCATGCGAACGGCGAACCCGGACTGAAAGATACGGGTTTTGATTTTTTTGAGCAATCTGAAATGATATGCCGATCATTCAGAACACAACTTAGCTTCAATAACTATCTTCCTGACTTGGGCTTCTCTGCTGCTTTTGCAATCTCATCAAAATAGACACTTAAAATCTCACCCAGGCCTTCTCAATTCTTAATTTGTAGGGATTTCCCTAACATTCATTGGGGTCGTCCGGGCTGAAAGAAACCAATAGAAAGCAAAATGGCTTGATCAGCAACAGCAGAGATATTGAAACTTCTCCCTGACAGTATCTACAGAAGATAGGAAAAAGTCAACTGGAATTGGACTGAAGCTTTATTTTCTTTCTCATAAGCCCTGCTGCAGGCTTTGGCAAGGACCTCCCGAGCCACAGAACAGAAGGCATCTCCGATCAGATGATCTAGAATTTGATTATTTCTTGTGATCCGCTTCCGAGGTATCTCCCTTTCTTAGGTTGTTTTTCATTTACCCACAAATTCGCCCAAGATTTTTCAGAATCACAGATCTTGATTAGTTGATTTACAAAAAAAATTAAAGCAAAACCCATACATACAAGTTAGAAGTTGCAGAGAGAGAGGGGGGCAAGCTTGACGGTTGAGAGATAGCGGCTGAAGCATGCCAACGGCGAACCCGAACTGTGGAAACTGAATTTTGCAGTTGCAGAGAGTTGAGAGACAGCGGCTGAAGCATGCCAACGGCGAACCCGATGACGATTTCTTCTCCTCCGCCTCTTCCGCCTCTTCCTCCTCCTCCGATGACGTTCCTGCCGACAAGCCTTCGTCACCTTCGCCGCCACCTGCTCTTGATCAGACTCAAATCCTTATAATATGGCCTTCAGACGGCAATCTAACCCTAAATTGGGTGTCGCGGCCTTTAATTGGTCCTCCAAGATGTGTAGTATCTCAGTAAATTAGGTATCGCAGCCTTAGTGTTTTTTATTTTTGTTTTTTTTTTAACCCTGTGTGATATATATTAATAAAATATTAAAAGATGTTTTACTCATTCAATATGGTCAAATGCCGATTAATTTGAAAGTTTGGAGAGTGAAATTATCTCGTGTATATGTATATATTTAGAGAGAATCTTATGATTTCTACAGTAAAACTGTTGAGAATTAAGGTGCAGCAGTGGTGAGTAGTGAATTTAGCCCAAGTCAAATGAAATTTCAGTCTATCGTTGACCTCATTTTGACAAATGTTTTGGGCAATATGTCAATTATCTTACTTAACGTTTTTGCGTGATTTTTTTCATCATCACTGTAGTATGAAATAGATCTTATGGTTCAGATTTCATTATATATCCTATATATATATATATAAGTATTGAGAAAGGCTCTCATGCAATTTAAAATAACTGTTTAATCATATTTAATAATAATAATTTTAATAATTAATTTACCATAATTAATCAATATCTTTATTCAATCTCTTTCCTCCTTAATCTCTTTCAATCTTTCTTCCAATCTCAGTCAGCATTTTCACACCATCACAGTCACCATCTTCACCACTACAGCCTCAACACAATTATCATATTCATTCTCTAACATATGAGAATTAAAAAACAAAAAATATATAAATTTAAAAATTAATATAAATTAAGAATATTATTTTTTGTACATATAAAATAAATACGTGATTAAGCTTTTGATTGTTAAAAAAAAAAAAAAAAAAAATTGAACAGGTTCCATACTATTTGAGTCTCTTGATTATGTTCCCGTGTGCAGCCTTGCTGTGGAAAAAACAAAACAAATGGGATGAAGAATGGCTCTTATTAAATATATATTCAGATCAAGAATACATTGTTGCCTCTATTCTATTATATATTTGTTTTTTCTCACTCCTTTCTTTCATTTTCACTAGTGTAGAAAATGGCATATGCCATAAAAATCGATTCATGTGTTGATATCAAAACTATAAAAAATCATTGATATCAAAATTATAAAAAATCGTCTTGAATTGGTAACGAATCTAACCTCATTTATAGAATAAATGGATTATTAAAGTTAATATTATTAACTATGGTTAAGTTTGATAAGGTAATAAAGTGAAATTGATTAATTGAACTTTGGTCCATTGAAAAGTTTGATATTTTGGACAGCATGAGAGCCTTCTTGAATAAGTATTATATTACTATTTCATAAAAAAGAATATGTATATATATTCCGATTAGAATATAATTTGTCATTAAACTTAGGGTATAGAAGACTGCAAGTATAATTGTTAGTAAAAACAAAAGATTTTTAAACTTTAAATAATGTAAAATTTTATTTTTCATATTTTTCCATTAAAGTAGGTTGTGGGTCCATATATACATATGGAATTATTCTACTTCATAAGATGTGGGGTTATAGTAAAGTAGGTAATAAAAATGGGACGTGAAAGAGAAGGATGTCTTGGCCCACAACCTTATACTATTGTTTATTATATAATTTTATGATCTGTGGGACCCACAATCTTCTTGGAAAGTTGCAAAGTGATGTAACAATCAAATCTCTAGTTTTTTCCTTCTAGAAGGAGGACCTCAAATGCGGGATAATACAACCCATTTATTAAAAAAACTCATTCTTAATTTTTATCATAGATTACACATTACATTCACCTTCTCTGGTGGGTGTAATTTGGTCAAATTTAAGGGGAGTGTAATTTACTTTATTTTTAATTAAGGAATAATAACTACTTTATTTATTTATTAAGATTAAAGGTTATTTATTTATTTATTAAGACAATATTAATTTTCTAGAAAAGTTGGACTATCTTTTTTTATCAATAAATGTAATAATAATTAGATTAAAGTACAAAAAGGGAAAAAGAGATTGCTCACGAAATACAATCAAGTTCATTTTTTGAACCCAAAAAATAAAAATAAAAATCTAAGTTCAATTTTTGAAATAATGCCAAGGACTTCAAGGTTGTATCATTGGAATGTGTCTTATCGCTCCATTTCTTTTTAATAAAAAAGAATGAAAGTATCACTTTTGAAAGTGAAGTACAAGGGTGGGTGGGTCTAGAATAATTATTGTGTGATATTGTTTTTTGAAATATATTTAAGGAAAAATAAAATAATAATAAAATAAGAAAAGTAATATTAGCACCTCACTTTTTTCAATTGCATTCGCAAAAGAGAGAATTGATTCCATAGTTTTTTTTTTTTTTTTTTTTTTTTTTTGGTACAATTCAAAGAGATATTTATTAAACAAAGTTATTTTTTTTATCAGTTATATCAAAAAGATTTTTTTTTTTTTGTAATTTTTTTTGAGTTATGTCAAAAGTAATAATTTATTCGATATATATATATATATATATATATATATATATATTAGAGTTTTTTCATGTCAAAAGAGATAGTTTGTAATTTGTTTTTGATCAGGTCAAAAGAGGCAATTTATTAAACATAATTATTATTATTATTTTTGATCTTGTAAAAAAAAATTATTCTATAATCTTGTCAAAAAGATCTGAAATATTAAATATTAAAGATAAAAGGAAAGAAAATTTAAAAGAACAATTATATCATTTAAAAAATTAGGATTAAAATTACCATAGTATAGTGCAAATAGTGACCTTATATTTTGGTAACCAAAATTAAACATAATTCCTATATAGTGACCTTAAAGTCAAGAAAAGGTGAATAGTGACCAATTTTGAAACTTAATATATTAAGTGACCATTTGATGATTTATTACCTAAATAGCCTTCTTATAATATATTATTATGTAAGTAGACAAATTTATCCTCTACATTAACCTAAATAAACACTTACTTAAATTGACTAACAAAAAGACAACAAATTATTAAGGTGAGTCTCTGAAGAGAAGATCAAGATGGGAGAGAACTGATGATGGATATTATACATCATTTTCTTCACGATTCTAAGAGACATGACGAGCAAATTGTAAAATTTCTTCTTATTCATTATTTTTAAGGTATAGTTATTATACTTTACGAATTAATTTGTCTGAGAGATCTTCCTTAAGATATAAGATTGTAATTTTTAGGAATTTTTAATACTACTTAGTTATAGTTCAAGAAATAATGACTATTGTTGATTAATTTCATAATTTTATTAACTGTTAAAGGGTGTTTTAAAAGTATGATTTGTTACTGTAAATGTTATGAGCGTTCATGTTGGAGACACTTGAAAAATAAATAAATGATGGAAAAGAGATAATGTTGATAAAGAAATTTTAATTTTTTAAATTGGTAAATTGTAAATTAAAAAGAAAAATATTAGATAGTTGAGAGCCTTGAAAAATAGATAAAGGGTGAAAAAAAGATAATGCTGGTAAAGAAATCTTAATTTTTTAAATTGGTAAATTATAAACTAAAAAGAAAAAAAAGAAAACGTTGGATTAGAGAGAGAGATAGAGTAGGAGGAGGATGAATTTAATGACTTATTATTTATATTGGACGGCAATTTTATCATCTAAAATTTATTTTTAAAATGTTTATTAAACTTTTAAATATTTTTGACCAAATTATTCTTAAATAGTCACTTAATATCAATTAAGTTTCAAGATTGGTCATTATTTATCTTTTCTTTAGTTTAAAGTTACTATATAACAATTATGTTTAATTTTGGTCACCAAAATATAATTTTTTCAAAAATTAACCAGTATTCATCTTCCATACTTCACTCAGACCTCGATTTCTCCGTTTTTATCTCCTTATTCCTCTCAATCCGATACCAATTCTCAGTCTAATTGCTTGCCAAAGTTTTAACGTGTCTCTCTCCCTAATTATGGTTGTGATTTGGCGTGTAAAAAACAAACACAACCTTCTAGATTCTTATTATTAGGTTAATTCCAGCCTAGTGTTTCCACCATTTCGATCTAGATGAAGCTATTTCAGGAAAATCTTAGCGCCAGATAACTAATTACTACTCATTTAACAGTGGAAGCTTCCACACACTATTCAAATTGACCCCATCCTCCTCCTCTTTCTCTCTCTAAATACACACAATTTCTCTCTCTCTTCGAAAATTGCAAACGTCGCTCCGCATGTTCTATGCGTGTTTCAAAACACTTGTTTCTTTGAGAGCTCTCGTAGCCGATCACTCACACAACAAAAAACAGAATTAAGTTCGCTTTGCTGTAGATTCGTCATGTTTTTGATACTTTTCATTTTTCACTCATATATATAATAACATACATACACTTTATATATACCATATACAAATCACATTGTTGATGAGGATTTGAGTTTGTTATAGAATTCAACTTAATTTTTTTTTTTTTTTTTTGGAGTCATTTCACACACACACACACAAAATATATATATATATCGAATATAACTGCACATTCCGTCAACTTCTTGTTAAAATTGGGTAGATTAAGATGGCGGCGACGGCTTTGGCCGGCGACGATCTGGCTCGATCGGGGAGTACGAGGAGCTGGAGGTCGTCGAGTATCCGGGACGCGTGGCAGCAGCAGCCGGACGTATTCAGCCGGAGCGGGAGCCGGGAAGACGATGAGCAGGAGCTGCGATGGGCGGCGATTGAGAGGCTTCCGACGTACGATCGCCTCCGCAAGGGAGTGTTAAGCCGCGTGCTCGATGATGGAAATGTTGTTCACAATGAGGTGGATCTTAAGAAGCTTGAAGACAAAGATAAGCAGCATTTAATGCAGAACATACTCAAGGTGGTCGAAAAAGATAACGAGCAGTTTCTCAGAAAATTGAGGGAACGAAACGACAGGTGAAATTTTTTTTAAAATAAAAAATAAAATCATGCGTTTAATTTCTTTATTATTTTATTCCAATTTGTTTGTTTTTCTTGTTGGTATTAAGTTTAATTATGTGATTTAGGGTTGGGATTGAGATTCCGAAGATTGAAATTCGGTACGAGCACTTGTCGGTGGAGGGAGAGGTGCATGTTGGGAGCAGAGCACTTCCCACTCTGTTTAATGCTAGCATGAACGCAATTGAGGTACGTATGCAACAAGTTGAATGCCTTTTACTTGTGGTTTGTTTGTTTGTTTCCTGCAATTCTATGTATAAGTAATTTTTTTTTTTTTGTAACGAATTGTTATAGTATTGATTGTATGGGTACCTTTTTAATGTTTAAAGTATGTTGATATATATATATATATATATATATATATATATATATATATATTATAGTTGGCATATAGTTACTTACTGATTATGTTTCTCTGTTTTGAATATATTTGGATAATAGAGCCTTCTTGGATTGATAAAGCTTGCGCCATCTAAGAAGAGAAATATCAAGATACTTCAAGATATCAGTGGAATAGTAAAACCAACAAGGTACATTTATTTATTATTTATTATTTATGAAGTTGTGGAGATTTCTTTCTAGTTTTCCATATCAATACAATAATTAAAATACTTTTTTTTTTTATGATGCCAATTGCATTCTCAAATTTACTTTTACCTTTTTGGATAATTCTATGGTAGGCACAGATTTTGTTATTTTCTTTACTAAGAAATGATGTTGATTTTTTTTTTTTTTTCCCCCACAAGATTAGTATTATATTATTTTGTACCAATTTGGTGGCTTTCAGGATGACACTGCTTTTGGGTCCTCCAGGCGCAGGAAAGACTACAATGTTAATGGCACTTGCAGGGAAGCTTGATCTCGATCTAAAGGTTTGCTTCTTATTATCTCGTACTGATGTTTAATTTTTTCTATCTGTATATTGTGCAGGCATTTGCATTTTGTAGTTCTCTCTTGTATATTTTGATGAGTTGGAGTTTTTGATCAGGAAACTGGTAAAATCACTTACTGCGGTCATGAAATGAAAGAATTTATTCCACAAAGGACATGTGCTTATATTAGTCAACATGATCTTCACTATGGAGAGATGACGGTGAGAGAGACATTCGATTTCTCGGGACGCTGTTTGGGAGTTGGCACAAGATATGAAATGCTAGCGGAACTTGCCAGACGAGAAAAACAAGCAGGGATCAAACCAGATCCTGAGATTGATGCATACATGAAGGCAATAGCAATGGCAGGACAAAAATCCAGTTTGGTTACAGATTATATTCTCAAGGTTCCATTTCTAGTTGCTACATCATCTATTTTCTTATTTAAGGAGCAAGGGGCCAATTTTCTTTTCATTTATTTTCTTTTCAAGTCAAAACTTACTTTTTGAGAATTATGGACAGTTACTTGGATTGGATATTTGCTCGGATACTATAGTTGGTGATGAAATGAGAAGGGGCATATCTGGTGGACAAAAGAAGCGTGTGACTACGGGTAGGTTTTCATGACTATTAACCATGTATGACAATGGGAACCCTTTTTTTATTTTATGTTCCTCTTAATTTAGGGTTCTCAGGTTATGCTATTTCTTTTATCTTTGTGTTATTCTGGTTTAAATTTTGATGTTGTTTCATGGTAATGCTTTCTTAAGGTTCCTTTCCCATTCAATACAAACATTTTAGCATAATCTTTGTTTTTTTAGCAAGTGAACATCTTTCAGATACAGGATTCCTTTCCATTTCACAATAATATTGGTAATACTCTTGTAATGTGGTTTGCTGGTTGCGCCATCTTTCTTTGCACTAATAATATTCTTCATATAATTCCTAGAATAGGTTCAAACCAAATCAAGAATCACTGAATAGTTCTATGTCTGTGGAATCCCGAGCATTGCATTCTTTATCAATTTTAGTACCATTCTTCATTGATTTCAGTGGCATAAATCCCATGCTCTTTTTCCCCATTTAATATGATCATATTAAAAGGTATTTTAGAAACTATTAATTGTCTACTTCTGATGTGGTCGCAGCAAATACTACTTTTTACATCACCAAAGTCAAAAATAAAAATTTAAATTAAATCACACATGATTTTCTGTTGGATGTTGGTGAATATGGTGCATGATTGAAAGTATCTGCTGCCATTCTTGTGGGGGAAATGTTTCACGTCTGACTCCTTAAGACCATCTATAATTTTCGAACATTTCATAGCATGTTTCTTGTCATTTGTAAATAATCTTAAAGGGTGTCATAGATTTTGATTTAACTGGATTGCAGGAGAGATGTTGGTTGGACCAGCAAAAGCTCTTTTTATGGATGAAATATCAACTGGATTGGACAGCTCTACCACTTTTCAAATCGTCATGTACATGAAGCAAATGGCTCATGTTATGGATCTAACCATGATCATATCTCTTCTGCAGCCAGCTCCTGAAACATATGATCTTTTTGATGACATTATCCTACTTGCAGAAGGTCAGATTGTCTACCAAGGTCCACGTGAGAATGTCCTTGAATTCTTTGAGCATATGGGTTTCAAATGTCCCGAAAGGAAAGGAGTTGCTGATTTTCTCCAAGAAGTAACTTCCAAGAAGGACCAAGAACAATATTGGTTCAGGAAGAATCAACCTTACAGATTTATCCCAGTTTCCGAATTTTCTCAGGCTTTTAACTCGTTCCGTATAGGCCAGCAGCTTGCAGCAGATCTTAGTGTTCCTTATGATAAATCCAGAGCCCACCCAGCTGCGTTGGTAAAGGAAAAGTATGGCATCTCTAACAAGGAACTATTTAAGGCGTGCTTTTCGAGAGAGTGGCTGCTGATGAAGCGCAGCTCTTTTGTATACATTTTCAAGACTACCCAGATTACAATTATGGCACTAATTGCCATGACAGTGTTCTTCAGGACAGAAATGCATCCTGGCTCTTTAGCAGATGGAGGAAAGTTTTTTGGAGCCCTTTTTTTCAGTCTCATTAATGTGATGTTTAATGGGATGGCAGAGCTTGCGATGACTGTATTCAGGCTTTCTGTCTTCTTTAAACAGAGGGATTTCTTGTTCTATCCACCATGGGCTTTTGGCTTGCCAATTTGGCTCCTCAGGATCCCTATATCATTCATTGAATCAGCAATATGGATCATTTTAACATATTACACGATTGGGTTTGCTCCGGCTGCCAGCAGGTGGGAGTGGTTCTCATGTTCTTGTCTTCAAATACTAACCTTCATATGCATGGCAATACTACTAACTAATTCTTCCTACTTGTCATCGGTCCAGTGATTACTGAAACTTTGTCATGGTTGGTAATTTGAATGGATTTTCACTGAAACGTTTCTTCCATCTTGATTCAGGTTTTTCCGACAATTCATTACATTCTTTGCTATCCATCAAATGGCTCTGTCCCTCTTTCGCTTCATTGCTGCTCTTGGAAGAACACTGGTTGTTGCAAACACGTTAGGCACCTTCACCTTGCTAGTGGTTTTTGTGCTTGGAGGATTCATTGTTGCCAAAGGTAAGCTATTAAATCTCTTTTCACTTAAAGCAAGCTGTTAATATACCGATTTAGTATCTATATATTGCTTGCTGCTGTTGGCATTTGGTGAAAATTTGTGGAACTTACAATACAGTGATTATATATTCTTTCAAATAATGAAAACATAACAATCATTAATTCTTTTTGTGCCTGAAGATGACATTAAGCCGTGGATGATTTGGGGTTATTATGTATCTCCGATGATGTATGGACAGAATGCCATAGTCATGAATGAATTTCTTGATGAAAGATGGAGCATTGTAAGTTTCCTTAACTGGTTGTGATTATATTTTAAATTTAATCATCTTCTGTTGGTTTCTCGTTTAACTAATTTGAAGACTTTTTAAAAATATTAAACATTTTCTTTAATGCAGAAAAATATGGACCCACGAATTAAAGAACCTACTGTTGGTTTAGTCCTTCTCAAGTCAAGAGGCTTCTTTACAAAGGATTATTGGTTTTGGATTTGTGTTGGAGCACTTTTGGCATTTTCGGTTCTCTTCAACATTTTATTTATTGCAGCACTCACTTTATTGAATCGTAAGTTATCTTGTCTCAGTTATCACTTGGATTTCCTATTTGGAAATAGAATTCGGCATTTACAAACCTTTTCCTTGAAAACTACAGCTCTTGGCGATTCAAAATCTTTAGTCGTCGATGAAAATGATGGCAAGGTCAAAAAGTCGTCCTCTAGACAAGATAGAGCAAATGCATTTGAAGGTTTGAGCCTTTGTGGTTGAATCTTCTTGATCTTTTATGGTTATTTTTTTCTTTATATTCTTGCTGGTATTTAAGTGAAACTTGGGTGGTAGAAGTGTAGATGACACTTACTTGTGACATCTATATAATATAGCTCAAAGGATTTAGAGGTCTACTTTTTATTTATTTTTATTGGCCTGACATCCCGTGAATATTATTTATAGGTATTAATGCGGCAGTTGGGAACGCTTCAAGGGGTAGTGACTCAACTGCTAATGTTGGAAGAGGAATGGTTTTGCCCTTCAGACCCCTTTCACTTGCATTCAACCATGTGAATTACTATGTGGATATGCCTCCTGTAAGTGATCACTCATTCTAAATTATTAATTCTATTGGAGAATCCCATGATTCGAGTGATTAAGGTTGATGATGTAATTAATTAAGTCACACCATTCTTTATCAGCTTCAGTTTTAGAGTAGTCAATGGCTAATATTCTCTATCTACGTAGGAGGCAATTCATAATCTCTAAATCCCCACACTACCCTGATAATAAAACATATTCATGTTTTTCACTCACGAGAGTTTGTCCAAACACAAAGGTGCATATTGATAATGTATATGAGTAATTAATTTATTATGGCTTTTATTTTCTTCCGCTGTTGAGAGTTGTTGGTTGGTTGTTTAATAGCTTTCATCAAGAAGTTGTATTAGCAGTCGCCCTATCCTTGACTCCTCTACTTAATCAGCTATCAATTTGGCACTTTCTTTAGTCTGCCATGAGTGACCTTGAATTTCGGCGCTGCAAATTTGTCTCATTTGGAGAAGTCCTATCTAGTGGATCATATATTAATTTTGGGGAAATGCTAGGGAAATGGAAGAACATAATTAACATGAATAGAACTTCCAAAAAAAGAATTAACCTGAATAGAGTTAGTGAGGAAGATAATGATAACATATGGTTTAGTTGCGACAATTACCTCAGATAGAGCAGAATGGAAAAATAGGATTCCAGTAGCTCACCCCAAATAGTGGGGAAAAAGTTTTTTTTTTTATTATTTTTTTTTGTAGCTTTGCAGGCTTACAAAAGTTAACTTGTTCTTCAATGGCATGCTGTGTAATTTTTTTTAACAAATCTATTTATTAGTTGAAAGGATCTTTGATCTGAACTTGCTCTTTTTCTATCAGGAAATGAAAAGTGAAGGAATTGAAGAGACTCGTCTTCAACTGCTACGAGATGTTAGTGGTGTTTTCAGACCAGGGATATTGACAGCACTGGTGGGGGTTAGTGGTGCTGGAAAGACCACGTTGATGGATGTGTTAGCTGGAAGAAAGACTGGCGGGTATATTGAAGGAAGTATCAGCATTTCGGGTTACCCAAAGAACCAAGAAACATTTGCTCGTGTCAGTGGCTACTGTGAACAGAATGACATTCATTCACCTAATGTTACTGTTTATGAATCTCTTCTATACTCAGCTTGGCTCCGCCTTCCCTCGGACATAAATACAGAAACACGAAAGGTACATATTTAGTGATTTATCTATCTCTAAATCATAAATGTTGAGTTTATAATAGTTGTCCAAAAGTTTAAAGTTCTGATCATCTATAATTGTTGTGACCTTTTTGGGGGTTGGGGGGGAATTGTACTGTAGATGTTTGTTGAAGAAGTAATGGAATTGGTTGAGCTTGATCCAATAAGGAATGCTCTAGTCGGCCTACCAGGAGTAGATGGTCTTTCAACGGAGCAAAGGAAGAGGCTAACAATAGCTGTAGAATTGGTAGCAAATCCGTCTATCATTTTCATGGATGAGCCAACATCTGGCCTTGATGCTAGAGCTGCCGCCATTGTTATGCGAACTGTGAGAAATACAGTGGATACAGGGAGAACCGTTGTGTGCACAATTCACCAACCAAGCATAGACATTTTTGAAGCTTTTGATGAGGTATTGTCTCAATTTACGAGGCTATGTACTTGAATTTTATTATAATTTATGATTCTTTATCCAGCGGTGGTGATATTTGTAACTAAAAAATGTACTTGTTGCAGTTACTTTTAATGAAGAGAGGAGGGAGAGTCATTTATGCAGGACATCTAGGTCGCAACTCTAACAAGCTTATAGAATATTTTGAAGTGAGTAAATCTTTTAGTATTATTTATGTTTTGTTTTGATTATCAAAATAAACCATAAAGTCAATCCTATATATTGTTTTGTCCTTTTCCAATTCTCAAATTTAAGATTCAAAAAATGATGTGTATACACTCCCCGGTTTAAGGGGGAAATACAGGTCTGCCTTTCTTCTTATTTTAGGTTCTATTTTGGACTGATATTTAAAACCTGCTACAGGCTGTACCTGGGGTTCCCAAGATTAGAGATGGTTACAATCCTGCTACATGGATGTTGGAGGTTAGTGCTCAGTCGGTCGAGACTCAACTGAATGTAGATTTTGCTGACATCTATGCCAACTCCTCCCTCTATGAGTAAGTAAAAAAAAGAGATCGACGTAGTTATAAACTAATTTTATGCTTGTTCTTCTCTGATATAATATCTAGTGTTGTTCTTATTTTCCTGTTGATTCTTTCAGGAGGAATCAAGGACTCATTAAAGAAAATAGTACTCCGCCACCAGGTTCCAAGGACCTGCACTTCCCAACCAAGTACTCACAGCCGTTTGCCACTCAGTGCAAAGCTTGCTTCTGGAAACAGCATTGGTCTTATTGGAGAAACCCAAAATATAATGCCATTCGTTTTTTCATGACAATAGTCATTGGTTTCATATTTGGTATTATATTCATAAACAAAGGACAGCAGATGTAAGTCTTTCAATTTCTTCATCCTTCATAAATTTGACCGCCAAATTTGTTGAAATTTAGAGGGGAAAAAAACTCTGCATGGCAACTTTATGATAGATCAAGGAAACAATTTGTGAAATAAAGTAAAACGATCAAACAACTTTTTTTTTTTATATACTTGATTAGTCTATATATATATATATATATTTGTCATGTTTTAGAACTAAGTTATTTCCTTTGTTTTTTAATTTTAAACTTGGAACAGATCCAAACAGCAAGATCTGATAAATCTCTTGGGAGCTACATATTCTTCTGTTCTTTTCCTAGGAGCATGCAATGCTTCTACAGTGCAGGCTGTTGTTGCTGTTGAGAGAACAGTTTTCTATCGTGAAAGAGCAGCCGGAATGTACTCACCGTTGCCTTATGCATTTGCTCAGGTAACCGAATGCATTTCACCTTAACAAGATCTTATTTGGTACAAGAAGAAGCTGAAATTATATGAGTATTTAAACTCATATGCACGAAGATCTTAATAGAAGTCGAGAAGATGTTTTATCCAAAGCTAAGAGAAATGAAAATGTCTAGATAACAAGTGATGAAATTAGTTATATACCTTTTCTAGATATAGTGGAATAACATCTGAAATAAATCCTGCAGGTGGCCATAGAGGTTATCTATGTTGCGATTCAATGCATAATCTACTGTATTCTTCTGTACTCGATGATCGGGTATGAGTGGAAGGTGGACAAAGTCTTATGGTTCTACTACTTTGTATTTATGTCCTTCGTCATCTTCACATTGTACGGAATGATGGTTGTGGCTATGACTCCAAACCACCAAATTGCTGCCATATTGATGTCCTTCTTCCTCAGCTTCTGGAACTTATTTTCGGGCTTCATGATTCCAAGACCGGTAAGTCTTAAGTCATTTAAATGGCGCCACATGTTTTGGTTATAGTAAGTAAGTAAATTGACATATTTGAAATGGAATAAATATACCGCAGCAAATTCCAATATGGTGGAGGTGGTACTACTGGTGTTCTCCTGTGGCTTGGACAATCTATGGGCTTGTTAGTTCTCAAGTAGGTGACAAAGACATTCCACTGGTGGTACCTGGACAGGAAAATGTGACTGTAAAATCATTCCTGAAAGGCTACATGGGTTTCGAACATGACTTCCTTCCGGTTGTTGCTGTGGCCCATCTCGGCTGGGTTATTCTCTTCTTCTTCGTCTATGCGTTTAGCACCAAGTTCTTCAACTTCCAGAAGAGATAAAGGACTGAACTGGACTGAACTGAATTGAGTCACTCAGTTTTTAAATTTATATTTATCAAGGAACCCAATTCTGTAATCTATTTATCAAGAAATGAAGGAAACACCAACACTAACCGTTCCCCTTTTCCCTTCTCTAATTTGCTAAATCTTGTATTGACATGACATTCTTTAATGAGAAGATGATGCTATTTTACTGAGTAAAATTGACAAACCATATGCTATTATTATTTTGTCTCTGCAGTTGTATTTTTCTCTGGATCATGACCTTAATTATGGGAAAGGCATTTTGGAAGGCACTTATTCGACAAAATGATATTGAGAGACCAACTCTAATCCAAAATTTTCTCATATATATTTAATACCCACAATTAACCAAACGCGGCATTGTGTCTACTCCAGGCCCAGCAATTATCAATACTTGGTTTCCATGATGCGTAAACCCAACTTTAGAGGCCTTCTTTTTAATAAGTGAAACTGGGCCAAGTGTGGATCTTCTACTCTATTATAAATCCACACCAAATTGTGATTTTAATGGCGACCCAGCATTTTCAAGGCCCAGGTTATTATAGCTTTTGAAGTCATCCAAATTTAATGGGCCTTGTCATTTAGCGTAAACATTTTTTTCTCCATTTAAAATAGTTCTAAAATCCTTACAAGTACGGTTGCTCTCTCTTTCTATATATACATACATACATACATTTTCAAATATATAATTAAGCATGATTAGGGTCCAACACATGTTTAGTCAAATATTAAGTAGTACTGAATGAATCTAAACTAATTCAACCTATATGGCCAAATATTCCGAAAACGACACCAATCAAATAAAGAAGAGACATGAAACATCATTGTCTCAATTTAAATGGTCAATTTATTAATAAATTTTTGAAAATCAAACTCTTGTATAATATGCATGGAACTCACATTCTTTCCTCATCAGGAGAATCTATATATAATGAATGGTACCCATTCCATATCTTAGGAATGATCCATATTGATTTGTTGACATTGCCCATTTCCACGAACCACCTCATGACTAGATGAAAAGCACCCTACTAATTAATATATATATATGTGTGTGTGTGTGTAGAGAGAGAGAGAGTTTTGTCTTTTACGGTTCCTACCATGGGAAGGATATGAATGTCCCCCGTGAGTGCGACCTTATGTGAATAGAAAATAGAATTTGCATATGAATTTGTGTACTTTTTGGAGGGTTAGTCGAAGAGAAGACAATAAATTGGAAAAGAAAGATACTACTACACAGTCTACACTAGCACTCCTCTTTTTCATCTGTGTGGTGAACTTGAGATGGGCATATGCTATCATCTGATTCAAGATTATTGTGGTCCATGCATGTCAATGTGTAAAGTAAGTGGCCCAAATAATAATAAATACTAGTAATAAATTATGGTCCTATTAATTGGAATACACAATCAAGATATACCACTATGAAGAAGCTATGGAGCCACCTATAAAAAAATACATACATACATATATATATATATTTGGCTTGAGAGAAACAATAACATCCTAGAACTTATAGTACTGTGATTTTGGCAGAAAAAAATTACCACTTATATATTGAATTTCATTGGAATTCCTTAGGTAAGTAAGCAGCATAAAGGGTTATTGAAATAGTAAATTCTTTGTGGGCCGAATTCAGGCCAAAACCAATATAGATAGGAGATAGAGATTTACGGAGTATAATTAAGATAGAAAAGTGTTGGATAAAGAGAGCATAACACCGTTTGTTTTACTATCAGTTAAAATGTTATTTTTGTTGGAAACATATTAAATATATTTTCTGATTTTTGAACAATTAGAACTTGACCCGATTTTAGGTGTGGTCCGTTTTTGGCTATACATACATTTTCGCAAATAAACTGTCCAAGACTAATTATTGTAGATGTCTCTTCACAATAATTGTGATGGAGAAAATACCAATTCAAATTTAATGGATTCAAAAAGATATTACTGCAGGGATCGGGATTATAAAATTTCCCATTTTCATCCATTAAATAATTAATTGCTGAATATAGGTGGTTGAACAAACGTTAGGTATTGATGAATGTCCAAGACTAATTATTGTAGATGTCTCTTCACAATAATTGTGATGGAGAAAATACCAATTCAAATTTAATGGATTCAAAAAGATATTACTGCAGGGATCGGGATTATAAAATTTCCCATTTTCATCCATTAAATAATTAATTGCTGAATATAGGTGGTTGAACAAACGTTAGGTATTGACGAATGTAGATGTCTGAAATATATCGTTGTTCTTTTCTCTTTGGTACAAAAATAATAAAAATTTGCAAATATTTGATAAAAATAGTATATTTTAGCTATTTTTGTAACTTTTCTCATTTTGAAATCAACCCCATGAAACATGAAAAATAAGAATAAGAAAATTTATTTAATAGAAAAGATTAATTAAATATTTATTAATGAGTATACAATAACAAGTTTTGTGTACTTAATAAATATATTAAAGATTGTATCATGTACATATTCTCTCTCCCCATGAGTCATTCATTTTATTTACAGAGTCAAAAATATTTTCAGAACTGGTTTCCTTGTTTTAATATTACATTCGATCAGTATCGTAATATTACATTTGACCAGTGATTAACGCAATTAATAAAAAGTAAAAAATCCTAATTTTTTACTTTTGATATGCATTCATCAATTAAAAAATTGTGTCAAATTTCTCAACATTAAAATCATTTTACTTTAATAATTTTTAAAATAGAAGGGGTGCCCCACTTATTATATAAATAAATCATGTCATGGAAATAGAATCCTATGCAGAGTGCCACGTCAATGATAGTACTAGTAGTATGTAATTGTATTGGAAATTTGGTATAGGTAGGTATGGCAGTAGGGTCCACGAAGAAGGAGGCGGACAAATATCCGACCGTCTCTGACACGTGGATGCGCTGCAGCCACGAACACGTGGGGAATAAAGAAAGACCAGGTTGTGTGTGTGTACGTGGATGCAATGCACCAAATTGACGGTGCACTTATACAACCTGTGTCCTTCGTTTTGTCCTCAGCGATGAAGCTTTGTGATTTTTGGGGTCCATTAATTTTACAAAACATTAAATGCTATCCAGAAAGCGACGACCTCTTTTTTGCTACACAATTGACCAAATATTGCTTTTGTTTTTGTCACCACTTCATTCAAACCATCCCATGTGTATGTATATACAATTCGAAATATATATACGTATTTACGTGGGTATGTTAAGGACTTTTTTTGGCCTATATGACATATAAATACTTTCCTAAAATGAATCTTATTTTATTTGAGGTTTTTTTTTTATTCTTTCTTTTCTCATGAATAATCACTTCACATTTCTTCTCTAAGCATAGTTTTTGCACATTAGTTCTCAACAAATGATTAAAAGGCCAAAAATTGTAGACTTTTGAGCAAATAAAGATCTGGATATTGAAAAGACTAAAGTATCCATTTATAAATGGAAAAAAAAAACCAAAAAAAGTTTAAAAAATAATTAAATATTAAATAACTAAAGTGTTTCTTCTTCTCCTTCATCACTGCCCAATAAGCATGCTCCTTCGTCATTGCTCAATAAGCATGCTGTCAGCGATGAAGCCAATTGTTGCAGGCTTCCTCTCTTTTCGGCAAGGACATTGGACCTGTAGTTGCTTCGTCGCTTCTTACACCCGCTACTTGTTCCTCATTGGCAGTGACCTAAGGTCGTTGCCCTTCTTCAACCGTTCAACCAGGTCGTCAGAGCACAACCTGGTGAGCACCATGGACGGTGACCTAAGTTGTCGTCCCTCTCCAATTGTGTTGGGTTGCTACAATGACCTTGGTCGCTATTCCCCTCACGGCGAACACACCAATTTGTCAGCAGGTGACCTATTTTGCTAAAATTTTTAATATTAAGGGTATTTTTCTCACTTTGCCCAAAGAATAATTTGAATTTTTTTATTATCATGAATTGCTTCACTAATTCATATTTACACACACATTTATATATAAGCACCACCCATTTATTAAGTAACGATAAATATATGAGCATCATTATTCGATTTAAACCAACGTTGGGCAAAAAACACTTTTTCTATGCCATTAAACAAACTTGAACTCTCCATGCTTTGCATAAAAATGTCAAAAATTTGATTTTATAGGGTTTTGGTTGTCTTTTCACATATATAACACTCATTAGTGTGTTTGGTAATCAATTGACAATAGATATATATTAGGGTAAAGTGCAGTAAATACCTCCTCTACTAATTTTTTGCCAAAAAAAACTCCTCAACTATCCAAGGGGTAACTAAGTGGATAGAAAATCAAGTCCATGTTTTTGAGAAGAAAATGTCCTTATTCCTATTATATAGGGCAAATTGCATAACCCCCTCCTCTACTTTAAATTTTTTGCAAGAAATCTCCCTTAATAAAAAAAGTTGACATAAAACCCCCAAAACTATACAATTTGTTGCAAAATAGTATTACAATGACTAAAATGCGGCTTAATACAAATTTAATGAAATGGTGTGTCAGACCTCGATACATAATCATTCTCATTAGCATGACTTAATTTTTATTTTATCAAAAATTTCATATAAACATTTTATATGAGCACTTGATATATATAACATGTCTAGAGTGGGTTGTGTGGTGAAGCTCATGTTTGGCGTCAAAGTTTAGTAGATAAATAACAACAATTAAGTGAAGGGAATTTTAGAAGTTGATTTGTCCAATAAATTAAATTGATTGATAAATTAATCTATAATTTATCATTTTGATGGAGCAAATGTGGAGTTGATAATTGAATTTTATGTCCATGTTTAAGTTACCGGCAGATCACCTATATGTGTGGATATGTATATATATTAAATATTATTTTTATGCTAAAGTTTCTTTGAGAAACTGGTGGGCTTTGACTTTGTAAGTATGTATATATATTAACTAATGTGCTTAAAGGAAAAGGGGCCAAGAAATGAATTGTTAATGATGGCCACATCTATTATGTTATACATAGAAAAGAAAAAAACTGAGGATGCACAAGTGAACGTGGGTGTGTGAAGATAAGTATTGGTGTGCTGGACATAAATATATATATATATATAATTGTTTTTATATGCCGAAGATTTTCATATACACATGAAAGTATACTTGTTCTAAGTTTTTCCTTATAAGCTTGGTGGTTTGGTGTCTGACTATAGAGATATATAA